ACTTTATACGTTACACTCCACACTTTACACTTTACACTTCACACTCCACCCTTTCCACTTTACACTCTCTACATTCTATCACTCCACACTTTACACTCTACACTTTACACTTTCCACTCTACACCTGACACTGTACACTCCACACTCTACACTTCACACTTTACACTTTACACTCCACACTCCGCACTTTACACTTTACACTCCACACTTCACACTCTACACTTTACACTTTACACTCTACACTTCACACTTTACACTCGACACTGAACACTTTACACTTTACACTCCACACTTTAGACTTTACACTCTACAATCCACACTTTACACTCTACTCTTGTCACTCTACACTTTGCACTTAACCCTCCACACTCCATACTTTACACTCCGCACTCCACACTTTACACTCCACACTTCACACTCAACACTTTACACTCCACACTTTACACTCTACACTTGGCACTTTACACTGTACACTCGACACTTGACACTTTCCACTTTACACGTTGCACTTCACACTCCACACTCTACACTCCCTACTTTACACTTTACACTCCACACTTTGCACTTTACACTTCACACTCCACATTTTGCACTTACACTTTTCACTCCGTACTAGACTTTACACTCCACACTCCACACTTTACACTCCACACTCTACACTCCACACTTCTTACTTTACACTCCTCTCTCCACGCACTACGCTTTATACTCTACACTTTGAACTTTACACTCCACACTCTACCCTCCACACTTTTCACCTTACACTCCTCTTTCCACACTACATTTTTTCACTCCACACTCCACGCTCTACACTTACACTTTTCACTCTACACTTTACGCTTTACACTCCACACTCCTCACTTTACACTTCACACTCCAAACTTTACCCTCTACACTTTACACTCCACACGCCACACTCTACACTTTACACTTTACACTCCACACTCCACACTCTACACTCCACACTCTACACTTTACATTCCACACTCCACACTCTACACTCCACACTTCTTACTTTACACTCCTCTCTCCACGCACTACGCTTTATACTCTACACTTTGAACTTTACACTCCACACTCTACCCTCCACACTTTTCACCTTACACTCCTCTTTCCACACTACATTTTTTCACTCCACACTCCACGCTCTACACTTACACTTTTCACTCTACACTTTACGCTTTACACTCCACACTCCTCACTTTACACTTCACACTCCACACTTTACCCTCTACACTTTACACTCCACACGCCACACTCTACACTTTACACTTTACACTCCACACTCCACACTCTACACTCCACACTCTACACTTTACATTCCACACTCCACACTCTACACTCTACACTCCACACTTTACACTACGCTTTTTACTTTACACTCCACAATTTTTACCTCACATTCTACACTCTAGACTTTACACTCCACACTCTACACTCACCACTTTACACTACACCCACACTTAACACGTTACACTGTACACTCCACACTCTGCACTTTACACTTTACACTGTACACTTCACACTCCACACTCCACACTCTACACTTTACACTTTACACTCTACACTTTACACTTTACACCCCAAATTTCACACTCCAGACTTTGCACTTTACACTTTTTCACTTGTTGCTTTGCTTTACACTCCACACTTTACACTGTACACTCCATACTTTACACTCCGCACTCTAGACTTTAGACTCTACACTTTACACTCCACACTCCACACTTCACACTTTACACCTTACACTCCACACTATACACTTTACACTCCACCCTTTACACTCCACCCTTTACACTCCACACTCCACAATTTACACTCCACACTCCACACTCCACACTTTACACTCCACTTTCCACTTTACACTTCACACTCCACATTTTGCACTTACACTTTACACTCCGCACTAGATTTTACACTCCACACTCCCTGCACTTTTCACAGCACACTCTACACTCTACACTTTACACTCCACACTCTACACTCAACACTTCGCACTTTACATTCCACACTGTATACTTTACACTCCACACACTACACTCCACACTTTACACTTTACATTCCACACTCCACACTTCACACTTTACACTTTATACTTTATACTTTACACTCCACAATTTACACTCCGCACTCTACACTTTCCACTTCACATTCTACACTTTACACTCCGCACTCTATACTTCACACTTTACACTTTACACTCTGCACTCCACACTTTACACTTTGTACGTTACACTCCACACTTTACACTTTACACTTCACACTCCACACTTTACACTCTACATTTTACACTCCACGCTTTACACTCTACACCTTTCACTTTCTACACTCCACACTCCACACTCGTCACTCCACACTTTACACTTTACACTCCACACTCCACACTTTACACTCTACACTTTACACTTTACACTCTACACATTGCACTTTACACTTTACACTGCGCACTCTAGACTTTACACTGCACACTCCACACTTTACACTTTACACTCCACACTATACACCTTACACTCCACACTTTACACTCTACACTTTACACTCCACACTTTACACTTCACACTCCACACTTGACACTTTACACTTTATACTCTACACTTTACACTTCACACTTTACACTTCACACTCGACACTTTACATTCCACACTTTACACTCTACACTTTACACTCCACACTTTACACTTCACACTCCACACTTCACACTTTACACTTTATACTTTTTACTTTACACTCCACAATTTACACTCCACACTTTACACTTTATACTTTTCACTCCACACTTTACACTCTACACTGTGCACTTTACACTTTATACTTTACACTCCACACTTTACACTACACTTTACACTCCACACTGTCCACTTTACACTCCACACTCCACACTCTACATTCTATCACTCCACACTTTACACTCTACACTTTACACTCTACACCTGCACACTCCTCACTCTACACTTCACACTTTACACTTTACACTTTACTCTCTACACTCCACACTGAACACTTTACACTTTACACTCCGCACTTTACACTCTACACTCCACGCTTTACACTCTACCCTTGTCACTCTACACTTTGCACTTAATCCTCCACACTCCATACTTTACACTCCACACTTTACACTCTACACTTTACACTCCACACTTTACAGGTCACACTGCGCACTTTACACTCCCCACTTTACACTCTACACTTTACACTCCACACTTTACACTTCACACTCCACAGTTCACACTTTACACTTTATACTTAATACTTTACACTCCACAATTTACACTCCGCACTTTACACTTTAGACTTTTCACTCCACACTTTACACTCCACACTCTATACTTCACACTTTACACTTTACACTCCGCACTCCACACTTTACACTTTACACGTTACACTCCACACTTTACACTTTACACTTCACACTCCACCCTTTCCACTTTGCACTCTCTACATTCTATCACTCCACACTTTACACTCTACACTTTACACTTTACACTCTACACCTGACACTGTACACTCTACACTCCACACTTTACACTCAACACTTTACACTCCACACTTTACACTCTACACTTGGCACTTTACACTGTACACTCGACACTTGACACTGTACACTTTACACTCTACACTTTACACTTCACCCTCCTTCACTTTACACTTTACACTCCACACTTTGCACTTTACACTTCACACTCCACATTTTGCACTTACACTTTACACTCCGCACTAGACTTTACACTCCACACTTTACACTCCGCACTCTAGACTTTACACTTTATACTTTACACTTTACACTCCACACTCTATACTCCACACTTTTCACTTTACACTCCTCTCTCCATGCGCTACGTTTTACACTCTACACTTTGCACTTTACACTCAACACCCTACCCTCCACACTTTTCGCCTTACACTCCTCTTTCCACACTCTACTTTTTTTCACTCCACACTCCACGCTCCACACTTTACACTTTTCGCTCTACACTTTACGCTTTACACTCCACACTTTACCCTCTACACTTTTCACTCCACACTCAACACGTTACACTGTACACTCCACACTCTGCACTTTACACTTTACACTGTACACTTCACACTCCACACTCCACACTCTACACTACACTTTACACTCTACACTTTACACTTTACACCCCAAATTTTACACTCGAGACTTTGCACTTTACACTTTTTCACTTTTTGCTTTACTTTACACTCCACACTTTACACTGTACACTCCACACTTTACACTCTGCACTCTAGACTTTAGACTCTACACTTTACACTCCACACTTTACACTCCACACCTTGCACTTTACACTTCACACTCCACATTTTGCACTTACACTTTACACTTCGCACTAGACTTTACACTCCACACTCCCTGCACTTTTCACATCACACTCTACACTTTAGACTCCACACTTTACACTCTACACTTTACACCCCACACTCTACACTCAACACTTCGCACTCTACAATCCACACTGTACACTTTACACTCCACACTTTACACGCTACACTCCACACTTTAGACTCTACACTTTGCACTTTACACTCTAGACTCTACACTTTACCCTCCACACTCCATAGATTACACTCCACACTCCACACTTTACACTCTACATTTTACACTTTGCGCTCCACACTTTACACTTCACACTTTCCACCCCACACTCCACACTTTACACTCCACAATCCCCACGTCACACTCTACACACTACATTCCCCACTCAACTCTCTACTTTTGTTACATTCCACACTTGGCACTCCTTCCTCTTCCACTTTCCACTGTCTACAGCGCAGAGGAAAAAATCGGTAAAATGCACAAGACTGTTCAGAAACTTGTTTCACAAAAGTGTTTTACGTGACTGCATTCGGGTTTGTTGGTTTCTCTTGTTTTTTGGGGGGTGTGGACCATTAGAGATTTTATTCTATGTTCTCCATATGCTCCGCATGTTGAAATCGTGATTGAATCACATACCATCAGATACCCAAGATGCATCGCCCAGGAGCAGCGGCTAAATCAGGAGGGGACCTTGCGCTTGGCTCGGCAGGTCACTGGAGGCTCGGCGGGCATGTTTTTTTCTGGTGATCAAAGGATGTATGTATACCCGTGTGATCCCGTGTGTTTGTACTGCTTTGCACACTAGCGCACCTAAGTTTATGCATCCCAAACTTTCTCGGGATGGATCTGCGCAGGTTCACCACCTCGATCCCCCAGACCTGACCGGGCCCTGGCGGCTGCCCCTGCACCTTCGGGGGTTCCATAATTTAAATGGGGGATCCCCAATAGCTGGAGGGTTTATTTCATGGAAAATCCAAACATAAAATGGATGATAACTAGGGGTGCCCCCAATTTAGAAAACCTCCATATAGGTGCCTATGACATTCTATGACTGTGTTGTGTATGTTGTGTATGTGATGTATGCCGCATATTTTTAAGTTACATGTACATGTGTATCTATATACATAAAAGGTGTGTATGTACAGTGTGTGTACGCATGTATATGATTGGTATTTTTTAATCACAGGCTGCAAAGTAACCATGGCTTGGGGCCACATGAAGAGTTGAGAAGTTGTGGAGCACCCCAAGAAAGTCCTTGATCCCCAGACCCTGCAGAAGGGCCGAGTTTTCAGCCATTGGTTTTTGGATGTTTTTGGCCAAGGGATTGCCAAATAAGAATCCCACATTCTTGAAATTCACCCCTTTCAAGTTGTTCTTCCTTTTTTTCCTTTTAGCCCATCAGATACATCATGAGTTCGACCAGTCTACCAGCAGAGCATTTGGCTGAGGCCCGCAACCATTCCCACTCTCGACTCCGTGAAGACACCATGTCTATCGCCTCCAGCAACGACGATGCGGGCAAAATTTATGGCCTTGGAGGGAGCCTCTGCAGATCATAACTGGGGAGCCAAGGAGCTACGAAAAGAGTTTCCCAAGCAGTGCAAGAAGAATTTGTCCGCATAGATCAAGAACAGAAAAGCATAGAAAGACTGCATTACTCAGCCATTAGGTTTTGATTTGGTCATGCTTGCCTCATGAGAGAGTGGACCTTTGTTTCCCTTTTCTGCACTATAGGTACAGCCAATCCAACCGTGTTCTCTTGTGCATGGTGGGCTTACCTGCACGAGGGAAATCCTACATCACCAAGATGCTCATGCGTTATCTTACGTTTCTCAGCATAATTTGAAGCAACGAGGGCAATAGGGTTGCTAAGCATAAAAGCTACTGGTGGTGGCAATTCGATGTTGTTTGTGTGTGCTTTGGAAGCGGGCAGGTCAATCTGGATTAAGGGAGACGATTCAGCAGAACAGCTGAAAGCAACAAATTGCCATCAACTTGCAACGAATGGATATCCGCACTGCTCGAAATCATAGAATAGGTTAGATTCGATCTGTTTGCGTTCGATGGGGTTGATATTTTTTTGCTCGCAGAAGGTAGCTCGTTTCACCGCAGCAAGGTGGAGCGGTTTTCCAGTGAAAGCCTTCAATGCGGGTAACCTGCGCCGTCAAACAGGTGCCATGTGGATAGTTGTTCCAACTTGCAGCACCAAGTTTTGCGCAGTGTCCATAAAATACCTTTGATGGGGGGAGAGAAGGTTTCTTTTCTGATGTTCTAATGATTCTATTGGTTCTTGACTGATTGACTGTTTGACCCCACCAAGTCGCCATGTAAACGCCCCGGGGCAGGCAATTGCAGTGCCTCGGCGGAATTCTTCAGCAGCGCAGAATCTGCCACGAAAATGCGTGAGCAGATCGCGGACGAGTGCATGCACGAGGATCCTCCGCGGGCTGTGGGGGCTGGTAGGAAGCGGCATCAAGCGGCTAAGCGCCGGGCCGGGGGCTGGTGTTTGATTGCATGGTTCTACAAATCTGGCACTGCTGCCATTCTTGGCAAGAATAGATAGCTATGGAACCACAGTGACTTCACATGTTTTGTCAGATTATCATAGATTATCATTGTTTTGGTTTGCATTTGATGCTTCGCAGGCTATTGCATGGCTTCGAATGCACAAGAGCGTGCCTCGCTCAAAACCAGTTTGTCTTTGTGACATAGTGGGGACAAAGTTGGCTATAGTTGAATCCAGCACTATCTCTATAGTGAGCACCGCAGCTGGGAAAAGGATGGAAAGGGCATCCGTGAATCTCTCTTGGCAGCCATTACCATAGACATGCATAGGCTTTGGGTATGTTTGGAGAGGGGATTTCATGGGATATTTGTGCCAGCTGCTCCAGTGGCCTCTTGTTATTGAGGTCTGTGTCGCCATTTTTGATGCGACGAATACCACCACCAGGACACAGACTGGAGATGATGACCCCCAGCCCTTCACAATTTGGAAAAAATGCAGGCAGGTTGCTCTGTCGATGAATCGAATGGGTGCTCCAAATTGCAGGAGGAGGCAGCGGATCATCGACAAATGTCGTCAGGTGACCGGGATCACCCCGGCACCTTGGCCATGGGAAGGTTAGGAGGATTTTTGGACAGGAAGGACCCAGAATACACTAGCACAAATGGTAATTCGCAGGAACTGGAATTTGAAGGTGCCGAAGTTTCACCATGGATTTCCTGGAAAACCTTCAAACAGGGTCTAAACTTGAGTTAAGGACAGTTGGGAGTTCTTTACGTTTCTTTCATCACTTTCAAGAGGTGTGCCAGGCCATCATCAAGGACCAGGTCTATCATTTCTATCCAGGAAACAAGGATCAGGCCCATGTCTCGGCCAAGTCAAGGTCTTCGTAGAGAGCATTTGTGACAACAAGGCGCCGGTTGTGATCTGGGGCCCTGATCCCAATGGTGCATAGATGAGCCAAAAGTTCCCACAGTGCTTGTCATGCTTGTCTGACCCGGAATAATTAATGGTTTATCCGTTCTTGTGGCTTGTGATGGGCTGCAAGTTGACCAATTCGCAAGAACATGCAAGAACGAAGATCATGTTGATTGAACTGTTGGCTCAATTAGGCCCCCCTCCATTTTTTCCAGAAGTGCTGTCCATGGGTGCCCAGTCAGGAAATCTTGGAACGGAACTACAAACTCAAATTGGACAATGATGACTACAGGCTCAGTGCATCATGCTGAGATGCTGTGTTGTTGAACCAGTGCAGTCAGACATAGTTGTTGGAAACATAGAATTGATCATCAAAGGTGTCTCACACCACGGTGTATGCTGGATTTTTTGGCCGGTGTTAGGCTCTTGAATTGCTGAAGTTTGAATGAAGACTTTTGGCCGGTGCTTCCTTCCCCATCCTTGCTACAACAAAGAGCCAATCCATCTGCTCTAGATCAAGATCAGAAGCATCGGCGCATAAACACACAATACACATGTATGTGGTACGTATAGTATATATAGGATATACCTATTTGAACTTATTCAAATTATATAGTTTATATACATTGTATATATAACATATGTGCATGCATGCCACCCATGCACCCCCGCACACACACACACGCTTGCACTTCCACTTGGTCGTTTAATTGGGAAGCTGAGTGCCTCGGCAGGGTCCTTTGCTATAGACTAGAGCCGCTCCTGCAGGAATATGGATCCAATAAAGGCACGGCTTGATTTCATCCGACGAGTGGAGGACAGCTGAGGATTTCAACCAACGAAGCTTTAGCATGTTCTTTTGCTGCCTTGGCCATTGGCAGTGTATTTTCAGAGCTTTCATGCAAACCCATGATGAGTTATTTTTCTCCACCTGGGAGTTCAATTGGTCTTACTAAATGGACTAAATGCCCATTTGTTGGGATATAACCCCAATGATTATAGCTACATACACTCTACCCACTTATACATGAAGATGTGCAGCCGCTGTTTGTCCAAGTTGGGCTCTCATTTTTCATGCGTTCACCTTTTTGGACTTGCAGGAATACAAGTCGAGATACCAGACAGTTTCAGATCAAGAGGATGAGGGCCCCTTGGACGTAGCAAAGTCACCGCATTTGCAAGTGGGTTTGGAGTGCGAGTATGACCAAGTCATAGTCAGGCTCGCGCATAAAGATATAAAGCTCCTGTATCATGCCGGTTCGTCTCAACGTTCTTACTAGTATGTGAGTGTGGCATAGGTTTTCAAAACTTGCAGACGTGCGATCCTTCAGCTCAAGAGGTCCAGACTTCACAATACTCCTGATTTTGTCAAGACGCGAAGACAGTGAGGTGACGACTGTCGGCAGACTGAGCCACTGAGGTGAGATTTGCTATGTGAAGCTCTACAACGTCGGACAGAAGGTGACTTGCCTGAAGTCGAACCCCTCTCATCCTTGTTAGATCTTGTTATTAAGTTTGTTTAGGAAAGAACATGGGGGAAGCACGGATAAGCTGCACACCATTGTCCTTGTCATGACCATAAATACCCCTTGCAAACTGCAATAACAGTGGCCCAGAATCACCCGGAGAATATGTGACATAACAACCAGTGTGGTACTACAGTAGACATCTACGGTAGTATGGATGGTATTGGATGGTATTGGACCGTGCGGCCATGTGCGGCCTCCGAAACCAAAGCCACTGCTGGAATCTTTGCCGAGGTCGAGATGCATCACTGCTCTGGATATTTGATGAGTCAGACTTTTAGCGGCAAGGGGAAGTAGCAGCTGAGGTTGTAGGTATTGGTTGGAATTGGTTGGTGTTCATTTGTTTCTTTTTTTTTATTACTGCTCTTCTTCCCGTGAACTGAATCACTATCATGTTGCTGTTTCTGACCAAAAGTATCAAAAGTTGCATTTGTGCTCCAAAAATCCGTGCTCGCTGTGCTCTTTGTGCTTCTGCTGCAATGGACATTGGATGTTTGGTAGTAATCACATGTAATCACCACTAGCACTACAGCTTTCGGTAGTCCATCCCCAGGATTGGTTTCTTCCTGTCCAACATCCACATCCAACCTCGGTGTATTTGGCTTACGCGGCATGCCGAAAGTGGAGATCAACTGTCAGGCGTGCCATGTCGTGCCATCTCAGGTGGACGACATGGTGGTATCCCCTAGGATGTCATAGGATTCTTGGGAACCCAAAGATTTCAGATCTCCCCCGCAGAATGATTTGTTGGCAATTGAAGACGGGATATTAGCCCTTAGTTTGTAGCTGAACCCGGATGATTGACATTTATAAACTATTGTCAAAAATATTGGATGACTGGGTTATTAATGGTCATTAGCTATTTACAGCAACCATTCAGTAGTCAGCTTAACCAGCAAGTGGCACAGCTTACCCGTATTTACTGAAGGGTATTGAATGTGTTGAGTATTATACCCTCTGGTAATTTAACATAACTATGGAAAATCACCATTATTAATGGGTAAATCAACTATAAATGGGTCATTTTCAATAGCTATGTTAAATTACCAGAGGGTAAACGTTTCAACTGCCATCACCTGCCTTTGGCGGCGGTGGAGCCAGGGATCTTGGGTAGCCACCGTGGCGAGCTCACGCACAATGGCCGAAACTACTGCCGTGACTTGCGACGGACGGATGGTTCAAAAATTTGGGAGGCCCATTGGGGAAGGCAGTTCCAATTATTGCTTTGACGATCATTCTGAATGATTCTCCGATTGGCAGGCCTCAAAATGTGAAGATTTATTTGACCGAATATCTTTGCAAGCTTGCTTGCACGTTTGCAAGTTGCAGGAATGATTGTCTATGTAAGCACTGCATGTTTCAACGGGAGAATTCCCAGAACTCTCTAAAGACGTGTGAGCCAGGATCAACCAGGCAAAGGGCTACTGTCATCAAGCAGGCTCACAGTTCTTCATAACATTGCACAACTGATATGAAGACTAGAACCAGAATGGCATGTCACAGCTTGAAACCTCGATAAACTGCTACTCCGATGAGCGTAGCCAAGGCGAATTGGCCAGTTTTTTGCACAAATGCCGCCGCGAAATGGAAGAGGTGAGAGCGGCCTCCAACATTTTCTGGCCACGTCGAACTCTGTGTCTCTTCAGACTTGGAGTGAACCATGCTGCAGTGTTGCCCTAGGCCCCCAATGGCCCCCATATGGCCCCCATAGATTTGGATGATCCAATGATGGGTTTTCAAATTCGTGGAAGGTCATGGGTTTTCCAATGGCACATCTCAGCACCTGCAGTGTCCAGGCTGGTCATGTGGAGAGCTGCGGGGATTTTTTGGTGCTGATGGGCACTGCGCCTGTGCACTACTCCACTCTGCTGCTGGGCGGCATGATAGGAAAGCCTTGGACCTAGATGCCGGCAGTGGAGCTTCTAAGGTTTGACATAAAAATACGTAAAAGGAAAAGAAAGGGCAAGAAGAATGTCCAAAACCTTTCTGATCCATTGACCTACTGCAACAACAAAGTTTCTTCAGCAGCATGTTTGAGCTTTGGATGTGTTTTTCCCCTGCCAAGCGTTTTGTGCAGTCCTTGTGTCTTGCCCTAGGCAGTCGATGATCAAGAGTTCCAGCTCCAGTTTGTCAGATGGAGATCCATCCCCTGCCTCAATTTCAGGCAAGGCATTTACTGGGGGGGGCAGGGGCACCATCAGTGATGTAAGTTGAACGTCTTTTTATCTCTTGGATGGGAGCAAATCCTAACACAACTACATTGAACCACATGTGTCCACGCGGTGATCCGATTTTGGAACTCAAATATTCATTAAATATTCAATATTGATCGATATCACAATGACAGTCTCCAAGGTTGTTTGGTCACTGATCGCTTGCCCTGCTGGTTGAATGTTCCGGCTCAGTATCGTGAAGAAGCTACGTAGAAATGCCGCCAGTCGCCGTTGTGCAGACGGGAGCAACCATAAGCAACAATGAAAGGATCGTTCATGATGTTTCCATCATGTGTGGGACCTATTCAATCACAAAATGAGCATTAGGTGATATTGATGGTGAGAGGTTTCACAAGCACCAATAGCAGCAAACAGTATGAATATATTAAATAGTTAAACAATGTTAAACATACAAAATCCTAGAGAATCCTGCCAACTCCTACAAAGATTCGAGAGTTGTTCTCGATTTGTTTCAAATCTTCAAGTTCCACTTGACTTAACGATGCGGTGAGTCCTCAATGAGTCGGCTTTGAGCGCCGGCCTGGTCTGATGCCTCTTGCTGGACAGGGGGGCAGAGGGCACTATGTAAATCTATATAGTATAATCTCTCTACATTATTCCATGTGTATATATATATGTGTGTGTGTGTGTGACTGTGTGTGTGTGAATCCCCAAGAATAGGATACAGTAGCAAAATGAAATGTCCTCCACTTCTCATCGTGGGTCTTACGACATGTTCGGCCTCTGAGGTCCATACTCGCTTTCTTGTGCTGTTCGGAGTACAAGAGGGATGACTTTGCGGCTCTGGAGGTTAACCCTGGAGCCGTCAAGTCCCGCGGTCGGTTCAAACCCGTTGGATCCGTTGAGGGACAGTCATGTTGAAGAGCGAACATAGCTCACAAAAAGCTACACATGTTTTTTGGGGGGCTATGATAGCTATGTGAAATTATCAGATGGTATTTGGGTGTTTTCAGCTAATTGTGTTGTTTCCTGGGTTGTGAAATGGATTGTCGTGATAGAGTGATGGCTGCCAACAAGATAGAATGTGAATGGGTCACATGAATAGACTTCTCAAAATCACTTGGGTGTGGTCACAAGTAGCAACCTTTAAATATCTTTAAATTGGCTTGTCAAAGAGCAAGAATCAGATATATTTGCTTGCACAAGGGTCCTGAGGTTGGACCATGTTTGACCTATGCCACAATGGTTGGGCTGTGGTTTGGGTTTTTCACTCCCTGGCATCCAAGGGCAACCCCAACTTTGCAAAAGGGGCGGTCCATGCACGACTTAGACGAGATGAACTACTACACCATCATGCTGATCCTTAGCTGTGAGGCTGCCATGTTGTTGTCATTGGATTGGTTTAAGAGATGATTTACAGGAAACCCCCATATTTCATGGGAAAATCCATGGTTTCCTGCAGATGTTCCCTTAAAACAAAGCCAATGCTGTTGTTTTTTCATTGTTTTTGCCTTTTAGACTTTAGGAAACTTTATGCCTGGGAAATGCGATGTGATCATCAAATCGCTCCCAAGTTCCTGGTTGGATTTTCCCGAGTCCCAGCAGTTGGATTGCCAAGGATGCGGGACCGGGATGGGAGCCTCGACCTCTCCTTGGAAAAATCCGACCCGGAATATGCCATGATCAAAAGTATCACAAAGCCCGTCACTTGCGCTGAAGCTGCGGATGGTGTTGTGCGTGTTTTGTAATGTTTTGTACATTTGAAAAAATGATTTGGTGCCACCCAGTCTACCACAAAGCTCCTGCAGTAGATTTGACTCGCGACAGCATGCTGGGATCTGCAGTCTGCAGATCTTGGACATCAACGAAAGTATTTCTTCAGTCCATGCTGGATGTAGAGGAAAAAAGAGGGGGTTGGCCACTCGTTCTATGAAGTACTCCTAAACTATCCTAAACTCCTACATGTCATCATACTCATGTTCATCAGTTTGTGTTCGCAAAAGAAATTCATTTGACAAGCGTCTAGTCATAACCCATGCGCGTCATAGCGTTGGCGCTTCCTGAGGTCTTGGAATGGAATCGGTCGAATCCCAACAGTCAAGTGCTGGAGTTTGATCGGATTGTGGCGGTGAATCGGCAGCGGGGCACAGGAGAGTTCAAGCTTGAAAGGGGCTGTGTTTGATGCATACCTGGCCTCGCATTGAATGGGATTGATCAATGGAGTTATTTAAGAGAAGCACCATTGTTTTTGCTCAAAACATCGGTCTTCCTGCAGATTTCCATTCTTTAAACCAATTCAAGGAGTTGATGAATCTATCGATGATCTCTGCAACAAAGTTTGATGATTGCGCGTTGAGAAGAATGGTTGTGTATTTGGGGAACGAGCAGTTTTGACTTGTTTTGATCCAGCCAGCTGTGTCCACCATTTCGGCACTTATCACAAAGAGCATGGAGTGATATTCTATGATATTCTCATGGACTGTGTGAGGGAACCTATTCTATATATTCTATAAGTCCCGTTCGTCCAAGTTGACTTTGCAGTGGTTGTTCTGAATGTTGCTCTTCTTGATTCCCCAGATGCCAGGAAGGGAATTGATCAGATGTTTGCAGGTGCTTTATTGGGATCCTGGTGGGTTTGTTGCCAGCATATCCTTCACATGTTTTTGAAAACAAAACAAGTGAAAACTAATTCAAATTCAATCCATTTCTGGTGAATGAGGGTGAAGTGGTGGAGTAGTCCTTGGACTGCTGACTAGTACTAGTTCCGGTGATTCGAGCTATTTCGCGCTTCTATTTGCTTTGCACTGACAGATGTAGCGAATCATAGAACAAAGACTTGGTCGGTGCAACTGAGTTGTCTGCACCTGAAATGAGCTGAATGCTCAGCAGGTGCCCATTGCGAACGAGAGGGTCATGATCGTACTCCAACGTCCAGTGGAGCACAAGCTAGTCCTGAAGCGACCAGGGAAGTGCCTTGCCGGTGGGCCAGGGGGGGCAAGGCGGAATTGGTGCAATCTACGTAACTTCCCAGGTGCAACACAGACATAGACAAACAATGCCTTCAATCTGAGCAAGTTGATTGGACATAATATAACATAATTATTCTGATTATTCTTATGGCATTTATTTGTTTAATTTTGATACGCATACATGTGTGTTCTTTTCTATTTTTGACTCCATGATTCGACATCCCTTGCTTGGCAGAGGCTGGGGCTCACCATGAATCTCATGCCGAAGGACTCGGTCAAGCTACTCGGCAGCCCGGTGAACCATGGTCAGCCAGCATGAGCAATGTCTTCGCTTTGGGAGCACCAGGAAGTCAACTCCCCACAACTGGCCCACCCTTTCTAGAATGGCTGGGGATGCTGGGGCTCGTGCACTTCTGTGGCAAGTCACCAATGCTGGCTGTTCGCAGAGTTAACTCCGCTGCAAGGCCATGGATAGACAAGATTACGGAAGGTTTGTTGAGCGACTGGAACCAGGCAAACCCAGATGAACGCGTCAGTGACTCGCCTGACAACTTCGAGGCAAGCTACATACGTTGTCCGATGATCCCAATGGCTTGCCTTCTGGAAGATCATTTGCGCTAATTCATTGTTTGTTGTATCTTTGCTGGCATGTAGCTCATGGATGTTTGAAGACTAGATTTTAGATCGTTCCAAAGATGTCAAAAGCAAATGTCAGACTTTTGGGGTGGCAGAGAATGTCAAATATATACATATATTATATATACATATATACATATATATATGCATATATATATATGCATATATACATGTTTTTATATATACGCATATAATTTGATATAATATAACATAATAAATCATAATATAAAATAGTTTAATATAGAATAGTATAATATAATAAAGTACGATGTATATGTATATATATTTAGTATATATATATATATTATATTTATATTTATATTCATTATTATATATATATAGGCTAAATAATATATATATATATTAGAGAGGTATATTTACACACATATTTATTTAAATGACACGATGTTCCCCTAAAAAAGAGATGGGTGATGGTGACCAGGCGCCGTCATCTCAGGAGAACATGACCGAGTCATGTCTGTGGATGGCGTATCAGATCCGCCAGCTTCGGTGGCTCTTCAACTGGCGCGACTCGCACTGCAAGGGGTAGATATAAGCTGCACTCATGGACGGCGCAGCTGAAACGATATGAACAATAATTATCAATAATGTACAATATAATCAAATAAACAGTAACTAAATACATATTACAGATGTGCACTTTACCATGTGCACTTTCACATCATTCAGCAGCTTTCAGAGAAAGCTGTTTTGAAGCGCAAGGTTCTCAAAATGTTGTGGGTAGAAGTTGCTTGAGGCAAAGGTGGCCAAACCTCGCAAATATACTGTAACTGTTTCTTGGGTGTTGCAGCGCCAACTGAAATCACGTAGGGCTATGGATGAGTCGAATCCCTATTGGTATCTATTGGTTAATTCTCTCCGTAAAGCCTGTCACTTTCACCGAGGAAGGAGTCGGACGTGGACCTCACAGTGCTTCATTACCCGGATGATGGTGGGGATGGCTAAGCCAAGACCACAAGCTGCGCCACAGGGCAATCTCCAAAACCAGTGAGGCCGATGGATGCACCACATTGACTTGATTGTTCTGAAGATTTCTAGCTAAAGATTATGAAAAGGAACTGATTTTTCCATAATTTTCATGAATTTTCCGCATTACCAGTCAATGTTCACCTTGATCGAACAATATATGGCCAATACTGAGATTGCCTTCTGTGACATTGCCAGAATACATGATATGATATGCGAAGCTCAGCGAAAGGTGATGAGTGGTGATCTTTGCAGCTGAGTGGCTCATTGGCACCATCTCCACACCTGTTGCTCTTATATGTTTCGCTCATCCTTGTTGGTTTGAGTTGTTCTCCACCAACACTGTTCTGTTGCAGAGGGTCTTGACATGTCCTAACAGGTCTTGACCTGAGCCGAAGATATAAAGGCTGGCATGCTGGCACCAAATTATCGGGCACAATGTGGCATAAGTAATTGAATACCTTCTTGTAACCCTGTGATCCAACATATCCCAAACATTCTCAAGCCTTTATTTGTTTGACATTCTGCCAAAGTATTGGACGGGGGAGTGGTGAACGGAATCCTTGAGCACATCCTGTGCAGACGACAGGCCTGCGAACTTGCCAGTGGTCAGAAGATCATCACGGCAACCCAGTGATCCTCAACGATCCCCAGTCTTACATGTCAGGGCTATTTGCACAGAAACTTATATAATAGAAACATATAGAAACCACTGCCATGATTTTTGGATGTCGTTGGATACCGGGATGAATCCGCCGAGATTTCAATGACACAATGAGATTAGTTCCTGGAGACATTGGAGATGTTGGCTCGGTTTATTGACTAGTCTAGAGAAATTATACGATGACTCGAACAAACACAACATTAAAAAAAAACGGAGCTGCTGCCGCCCTTATCCCCGCGCAATCCATATTGTGGCCAGCATCACATGGTCAGCATGAAAGGGTAAGTATAGCCCCTGGCAACGTTGCTGATGATCTTGCTCCATACCCTATAATCTCATGGGAACATCGGCCAGCGACCTGGTTGCTTGGTCGGTTTTGTGCTTCTTGGCAAGATTCCTTGCCTCGCCGTGCGGCAATGGTTGGATCTCATTACCTGCCCTTTGGATCCCTTTGGTAATGTGACATCATTAGCCATGGAAACTGGCCATGATTAATGGGCAAATATGTATATATATATATATTTATATTTATATTCATATATATATATATTCCATAATCTATTTCAATGGGTCGATTTCCAGAGGTTAGCTGCTGTGAATCCAGCCCTTGCAGCTGGCCAGTCATTGCACAGGTCTCACTAGTATCCCTAGTGCATGTAGCGCCGTCAGCGTCAGCTGCTCTCGGAAAAAAAAAAAGATTCCACTTGCACTGGGATTGTGAAGTTCAGTCTGACTGCTTGTGGCACAGTTCCATGTGCAAACATGGAGATTGCTTCAGACTCCGTCACCCCCGTCCAGTAGACACTATTCGGTTTGCTTCATTCAACAGGGACCCAACAGGGACCGGAAATGTCCAGAAGCTTTCACACAACATTGCATATTTCATATGTGCATCCTTGGCTAAACGGACAGCGGCGAAACGGACAGCCCTGATGAATCCTCAGTCACTGAAGTTGATCCTAAGCACCGATAGAGTTACAACTTGTTACAACAAACTGACGAGAATGGATCCCAAATTGGGGTATTCCAGAAGATTTCTGTGGGTTTGCGTCTAGAGGCTTCAGGTTTCGTTCTTGGATGTTGTTGGTTGCCAGCTCTTGGTTTGGAATTCTGGGTGACGAACCTGCTACGTACAATTTCACCCAAGTTTGGTTACCGTAGTTTCCCACTGGTTATTTCCTCAATTTGGTTCCAAAATGAATTAAATTACCCAGTTTTGGGTGCTACAGCTAGTGGTTACTGGCCATTAGTTGTCATTTCTTACTCTACCATTTTCAGTCCATTTTCTGTAAAATATAAACTAAGTTATCCTGTATTCAAAGCGCTTTTGGCTTCCCCATTTGTTGGGTGGCTGCGCTGCTCGTCTCTGCCCCAGGTCAGTCTCCAGTGGAGATGGCGACTGAGAGAGAGAGAGAGAGATTATAATCTTACAAGCAATGATAAATGCACAATCTGTTCTGCCCCTAGTTCTACCATGTATTTGGTTCTATAATTCATTGTTGTGAATTACACCCTGTTAACCCTCTTACTGTAGGTGCTAGCAGTTCGCAGTGTTCACCTACCTAGCAGGCGCCTCCTCACCACCAGCAGTGCCAGTGAATTGCAAGGGATTCCAGGCGGGCCACTGGTTTTGGGAGGTTATAGAACATACATATATATATATATACAGAGTCCCAAAAATGACTAATAATAATTATATATATATAATATATGTTACCATATTGTTCCACGTTTATGCACTATTCAGAATCCAACATGGGAAAAAAGCCTGAAACCAATCAGCAGAAGGGATGACACAGGCTTTTTGGCACTGCACATGTGCGTTAAAACTTTTTCAGAAAGTCACCAACCAAATTGGACGCTCCCCTATCAGTCAATGCCTGAAATTACCAATTTCTTGGGCACCTTGGTTCCCAATGGTTGGGCCAAAGCCAAAGAAGTTGACCGGAGGCCATGAGCACTTCGCTGCTGAACGAATTGGACGGTGGCGTTTGCAACGGCTTGAGCTATGCGGAGCGCCTCAGCCGAAATCACTTTGGTTTCAAGGTACCTTCTGGATCCTTCTGGTAATTTGGCACCTAGCTATTGAAAATGGCCCGTTTATAGATTATTTGCATATTAAACATGGTGATGTTCAATAGTTATGTTAAATTGCCAGAGGGTATCTTCAAGGTTTTTTGAGGATGAGATCTGAAAAGTGTGGCATTTCCAAAGTGAATACTTCGCATCAATTGCCTGATGTGTGACGCAAGTTTCTGAACAACGCTCTAAGTTACCTATCATCAGGGGATGTTGAGGGCTGGGTCTGAGGATCATCCGGGATTATCCAGATCTTTGGGCAGCACGAGAGCGAGACAAGCTCAATTTCCGCTATCCAAACGGCGAGTCGTACCAGGCCTCGTCAGTAGGTACTGTGTTGCAATGTGACGCATTCCTGGGGGTTCCAATGGGTCCCATGTCACGTGCTGGATGGCGCGGGGATTTTGACGAATCTTGGGGCTCACAAATTGCCACTCCTGCATTTTCATCGGACATCCGGATGGGCTGCACCTCATGTAGCAGCGTAGCGAAAGCGGCCAGGATGTTATTGGGCGGCTTCGGCCGATCATCATTGAACTGGAGCGGCAACGTCGATCCATTCTCGTGACTTGGAGGTGTTGAAAGGTGTGTTGGAATGGAGGTCCAACCTGGGTATGTATGATTCCAACTTATTCCAGGAGTCCTGTAGCTTGATGCAGTCTAAGCTCAGGCCCATGGCATGAGACCTCGCATCGCTGAGGTTATTTCTCATTTGGCAGTACAGCGATGCTTGTATGCCTACTTTACAGGAACACCTATGGAGGAGAATCACACTGGATCTCTGCCTCGGCTTGTCTTTCCAACCAAGCAGCGATCATCAAGAGCTACAACAGAAATTTGGTACATGTTTTGCACCAAGAACAGATTTTTTCGGACTTCTCTACGAAGTTTGTACATGTTTGTACATCATTTTGTTTGCCACCCCCTAGATGATCCTAAATGGCGTCGCTAGGAGATCCCATATTTGAACATGGACATGCACACAGTGGTAGAGCTGCGTCCTGGCGCCTTTGATTGTCAAGTCCGTTCTGAGCTTCTTGGCGAAGGTGCGCTGATTTGAGGTGAAAAACTGAACAACAAATGCTTTGAAAGCTGTTCCCTGGGGAAAAAACTGGAGCAGCTATCCCTAGGGCCCCTAGAATCAGATGCTTTGAGGTTTTTGAATATGCTCAACTGTTGCTGATGCAACTGTTGTTGATGTGCTCCCATTTCTGTGGAATGTTGTTGGACTCGCGGCCGGAAAGCCGCCAAGGAATCTTTGGGATACCAGTCCTGAGTGTCCGACACCCTTGCGCTGATCAAGGCTGCATGTTTTCCCTATGTTTTCCCTTTTTTCCTTGTTTTCCCGCGGTGCGCTAAAATGGTCGCCTCTCAACTATCAACAAGACCTGGAAGTCTATATATATATAATATATATATATATATTTATTTATTTATTTATTTATATTTATCACTGGCATCAAACAAATCAAGCACACAAAGGCTGTTGCGCCGCCACCCGCGCCGTAGCGCTGAATGCTTGAACGGCTGCCCGCTAGAGGGCCAGCCCCGATCATCAAAGGCTGGTGAAGACACATTGATGCTGAACCAGAAATAGAGTCCAACATCCTGCAATGAATTTTGGTTCCTCCATTTTTGTGTTTCATTTCTGGACTTGGGATGCTGTTCCCGCGCGTGGTCCAACCTGAGAAATACCGGGTTTCTGGATGTTGCCTGGACATGCCATATTCCATAGTGAGTGATGACGCTGATCTTACCAGAGTAAGAGGGATTGGAACTCCAGGGCAAAAATTCGGTCCGCTGGCAGTTGACTCTGGGTTTGAAGGGCAGTACAAAACAGGAAATTGCATCATTTTGCTCTTCCCGCTTGTGACTCTAGTTTGTTGGTTTTGTTACCTGCTTCGGGGGCTTCGCATGAAAGACAAGAAACAATTTGAAAGGCGCGGCATATATTCCAGTATTTCCAGTATTTCCAGCGTTATGTTTTGTTGGTATGGAGGCTGCTCAGGGGTTTTAGAGCAAAAGCTAGTTTTGAGTCGAAGAGACAAGGACAAGAGGATGGGTTGGCCGAGCCTTTTCTTGGCTTCAGCTGCTTTTTTTGGGGGCCCAAAAGTGTCCTTCCAGTCATGATAGTCATGACTGGAGGCCATGCAACTGGCATAAAAACAAATATTTTGTGATGCAGATGTTTGACCAGGTTTTGACTGCAAATCATGAAACCTGGGATTTACATGGATTTATTACACATGATTTACATGTCTACATCAGGTTACATCAGCCTCGTCGTTCTTGATGTTCTTGTCTTGCAATCAGAGCATTGGAATCAACTAGCTCCGCAAACCATAGACAATTAGACAAACCATCAGGTTCGACATTGGCCATCAATGTCTTGCCTATTTGGTCAAGTCTCAAAATGTGTTGGTACCCTAAGCTACAGTACCACACTTGGTGAACGTTCGCTATGCAAAGCTTTCAAGTGCCTGCAGCGGTACATATCTTGATTTTGTTGCTGGGGAGCATTGCCGCTTAGCACCCAAATTTTGGCCTCGGCGTTGCCTTTACTTTCAGATGTGGGAAAATGACAAGTAAGTCAGTAAGTCTAAATGCACGGCGTCACAAAATGGCCAAGACCCGGTGGAGTCAAGAAGATGAACCTGCATTGTCATATTTGTCCCAAAAGAGAATGATTCAGACTGACTCCGCCATGAGGTAGTACCTTTTTGGTTTCTTGACCAAGGCGCTTGTGAGAACAGGAAGCGTTGTCAAGCCGCAAGTACGCTGGGCGCAAAGCACCTTGCTTCATTAAGCGGGTTGCTGGCATTTTTTTGGCAGGGCACTGCCGCAGTGACAAGCAGGCGCTTCAGTTGGTATGGTACCGGACGCCAGGCTGTTGTCGTTTTCGTGTCAACTTGTATAACTGTATAGCACATGTGAGTGGGAATTGTCCAGTTTAGTTAGTCTGCTTGCAGTCACCATCGGAGCAACCAAAGCTGCACTCGATTACTTCGCAGGGCAAAGTGGGCAACATGGTAGGCAGATCACTCCCCGAATCTTCTGAGAAAAAAGGATGGGTGCTTTTAGATAGCTTTCAACTTTCAAGCATGAACCCATGTTGAGAGGAAGAGAGATGGAGAGCTGTGTGCCTGCCCATCGTTGGTCATGGCTCTAAAACTGTTCCCAAGACGGATGCGGCCAATGACCAGCCAGCTAGTAGAGAAGTTTGTTGGAAGGGCCCCCTGATGCTGCACCATGTTGCGCTATTAGGCAATAGCACCCTGTTTCTGGAGCTTCGACCGCCCAAGGGCGGGTTGCTTGGCAGCAGAGGTGGAAATGTTGGAATCCAAATCGCCTAGTGTAAGCACCACAATAAATATCAAACCAACTCCGTTAACTATCACAAACTCATCAAACAAGATCCCTAGTGGCAAAAGCCACAGGAATCATATACCTTTACTATCCTCTAAAGTTGAAATAAGTTGAAATCAGTCGTTTGTAACAAGCCCATGGTGTGTCAGAAATGGACCTCTTCGCAGGTCCAGCTGCGGAGAACTGGTGGCGGAGATTTTCTTCGACCGAATTGTCGTGTCCACCCCATGTGCTGATGCACAGCAGCAATGGGACTTGGAGCTTCGGGAAGACGTCCCCTGGTTCAGGGACCTGGTAGGACATGGTAGAATCAACGAGGGAAATCTAGGGAAATACGAAACTGGTGAAGTTGTTCTGACTTGTTCTGACAGGATTTGCCATCAAGATCCATGAAGTGATCCATGAATCATCTTCACAACCGCACTCTTGCCAAGACTTCAATGGGTTTTTCTATTCAGTGAAACTTTGATTGGTTTGGCATGGTTTCAATGGTTTGGCACTGTAAGCGGAATTGCGCTTGGAAAATGAATTTCTACAAACAGAAACGAGCAGACCACCACTGCAAGACTGTTTGGGGAACCCAGCTGCCAACCACTGAAATCTCTCAGGTTTGGTCCGAAGACTCACGAACCTTAGGTCGCAATTCATGTTTTGTTGCTAGATTGCCAGGGTCTGCCTTTAATTTACTTGAACAATGCATAGTTATATAATGTTATATTGTTGTATATTGTTGTAAAGATTGTAAAGTGAACGCGCACGTGAGCGCATAAATGTCTTATGTAATGTGCGTGCATGTGTGTGTGTGCGTGATGTGATGTGTTTGAATGGAATGAGTTGAAATGACATAACATGACATGGAATGGAATGATATATATATATAATATATATATAATTATATTCGTTTGCAGGCGTTCTGTACCCAGCACCCCATTTTCACCAAGGACTTGAGCAGCTTCCCCAAAAGCGTGGGCTGCTGCTGCTACTCCGGAAACGTTTGCAGCATCGCTGGGATAGGCCACTGATGGAAGAAGCCTCCTTCGCGCTGCCCAGGGAACTTTGGCGCATGGTTTGGGAACGGTTTTGGTGGAGATGGCTTTGGTGGATTGCCACCGAGTGGCCACGCGCTGTGGCCCAGGACTGGAGACGAGAAGATACGAGCTTACCCGAAGAGGAAACCGGCGAAGGGGGAGCCGAAGGAATTTGCACTACTGTGGTCAACGCTGCGGCACATTGCGGATCGTTTATGAATTATAAACAGGGTTTGTCCAGAATCTGAAATGCTGGGGAAATGCCAGGACACCCAAAATGGCAATTTAGATGGGTACTAGAATGATGGTCCCCAATTTTGCACCTCTTCTCTTGATGTATGCAGCCGAATGCACCAGCCAGTAGAGTGAAATTGCTTTTGTTGTTTGTATCTGTTGGGGTCCCTGGGACCTGGCCCGCCTCGTCAGGATGAGATTGAGCTGCCACGAGCTCAAAATATCAAGGGTCACTTGGTCCAAGGGATTTCCTGGTCATCCTGGTCGAATCAATACATGTCAAATTCCTTTACTTGGTGTAGTCCCCACCATAAACATGCCGGCAAAAATGCCGACACGGCGAATACCTTGACATATATTCTGATGTATGGAGCTGAGGCATTAGAGATAGAAGTGCCATGGTCCAATGGTCCGTTCCTTTTGGTTGAACCTGTGATGTGCAGACCGACACACCTTCCGTGATGTCATTGTCATCATTTTCTCCGCCAACGTTCCTATTTCAGGCTTCAAAAGTCGATCTGAACTTGAACAGGGGCTTCAAAAGGCATACGGCCATGCCGGGGTGCAGCTTAGGAAGACTGTGGGGGTCTAATGTGTAGGTCAAAAATTTCGTGCATGGTTTGGCGCCAGGTACAAGTATGAAGCATGGCCACAAGCAGATACAAGCAGTGTTCGATTGAGATTTGGTTTTTTTAAAATTTGAGCATGACCGCCATGAACATGGCTGTATTCTGCACAATCTCCGGGTTTGCTTACCTGAACTTGTGGCTGTAGAAAGGTTCCACTACTGACTACCCGTGAGCAAGTGTTATTTTGGGGGGAGAGCTTTGATTCGCCCTGCAGATGCAGACTCTGGTGATCGCAATGCGATATCCCTGGTGCATGGCTTGCGAAGAGAAAGACAAAGCTTTTGTCAAAGTGAGCAACTTTACCAAAGGGACCGTTTCTGGAGTCACGAATTGAATTGGGGCCACGCAGACAGGTTCAAATTCTTGGGTTGAGGGATGTAGGCTGTTGCTGTTCATGTTCCTCAGACTTTACCATGTGACCCTTGATTTGTTCAGTTAAGCCTTACTATCTGTGTTCTTCCCGGGGCAACCAGTCATGATTCCAGTCCCCACGTGGCGGAAAAACTTCCCAGTAGAATAGGATTTTGACGACGCCCCCGAGATGGAGCCTCACAATACATAGTATGTCCAGAGTCCCGGAAAGAAACCTGACAGACTGCACTGAGGTAAACTTGCTGGTGGCAAGAAGGCTTTTGTCAATGCAACTTGCCATAGACAAGTCAGAGCTGAAGAACCTTTGGACATCTCTGGACAAGTTTTCAACTCCTTGACAAGGAGTTGAAAAAATATGTTTCAACTTGCATCGCCACTAGTACAGCATGCCCACCTTTCAAGCACTGAGGTGACCTATGGCACGCTGGATCTTCGGGAAGAAAAGGACATGGCGCGCAAACTATGGGGACATAACCTCCACAACTGCGGCTGGGCCGATTTTCCCGAACCCTCCACCTTGACTTTTTGATGACGGGGATTTAGTCAATGAAACAATGACAATGAGCCATGTTTGTAGTCTCAGCTGCGATTCCTTTTCAAGGCGTTGATTCCAATTCTGCAATGTCACGTGTTCACAGGAAAGAGTTGGAGGCCTGACGTGAATTGGCACACTGGATGCCATACTCAATGAAGTGATTTTATTGGCACGATAGCTGAAATCGTTCCATCTCAATCTTCCGAGGTAGTGCCAAGTATAAGGGCTGTCCTTTGATGGTGTTCAAGCCTGACGAACCACTGGATGAACCCTACCAGCTTCATGTACACTTGCTGTACGTGCCCTGGTGGTCAGCTGCAGTGATCTGAATGAGTAGAATGAATAGACAACAGCCGAAGAAGCGGCAGCCTTGCATTGTACTGCTTGAAAAGCGTGTAAGGCAAAGGTAGGGTGAAAAGCCGTGAAATGATGTGAAATGCTCAAGACAAAAGTTCCATGTTTGTTTGATTCATATTGATTCTAATCATTTTAGTCCTTTGCTATCCCTGGTGTTGGCCAAGGAGGTTGACGAAGCCGCTATGATGGCGGATCCATTGACAGGCATGCCAGGTCATAGTCCCAAAGGCCAGGTGGCCAAGCCTGACTACGAGCGTTTCGAGCGTGACCTGTCGCTTGGCAATCCATGGCACTGGGAAATCCTCGAACGAAATGGCTATTTGAATGGGGAGATTCTGAAGATCATGTATGAACGGGGAATTGTCCATTGCCATGCTCGATTACCAGAAAGTGTGGGTAGATTGCAAGGCACAGATCAGACCATTGTGCACGAATCTTGCAGCTCACCCCCTGCTGGCCCCTGAGGTCTCTATTGCTACCACCCGCCGTCTCCTACCTCAACGCCACGGAGCCAAAGCTGCCATCTCTCCCAACAGTTGTTGGCAGCAACATTCCTATCACAGCTTTCCGTCAAGCGGCGAGGCAGCTGAGAGGGACAACGTTCTTTTCTCTAGCGCCGCAAGTGGAAGGACCTTCCATTAGATTGTGGAGATGGGATGAGCTTGGAAAGCGGGTCATTGACTATGATCAAGACGTTGCTCAAACAATTACTTGACATGTTTGTTTGCGTGTGTGCTCCTGCGTGCTGGTGTGCTTTGTCCAGCTTGCGCAGAACACTGATGCACGGAAGAGGGAGTTCCCTGGAAGGGGGCTGCACCGCCGAGGTTGAAAATCTGAATGCCAGCTACTTGGAACATTTTGCGCGTGTTCACTCCCAGCCGCTGCTGCAGAACTACTCTTGGACCTTGAAGGATCAGCTGGATGGCATCGGGATGCCCATAGGAGTGCTGTGGGCAAACTACTGCTTTGCTTGAAGCATTTTTTCGCTTGTTGGTGTTTCATGGCGTTTCAAGTAATTAGCCGCTAATTAGCCATACAGTAGAACACATTATACAGTGCTCTACTATGCTCCACTATTAGCTTACAGTATTCCCCAGCCCCGTCCCGTTGGTTTCACATGGTTTCACAATGTTTTACTTTTTGTTTATTTTAAACACGCTATGTTGAGTGAATGCGCCACCGCACTTGGATGGGCGAGTGCACAGGGCGCAAGGACCGAACAGAACAGAACAGCTTACTTGTGCGTTCCTTTGGGGATTTGAGATGAGCAATAAGACCACCAGCTATCAGTTCATCCAGTGGCAAGTGCAGGGTTGACCGCCACGCATCCAGGTAAACCATTCAGATACCAATAGCAGCAACATCACTGCCCGTGCTTTGACCGCCTTCAGCAATCTGTGCAACAAGCGTCGCGGGACCAATTCATCACGGCATATTCTTTGCTGCGTGATGGATCAGTCGAATGCATACCATCAGCGTGACTATGGAAGCTTGGGCCGGTGCATATCAAGTTCCAAGTCCCACCTAAACTGGCCCCTCGAGGTATCTCTGTGACTTGGGACCCCCAAGTCATCCATCCTTCATGTCATGAGCTGTCCATAACTTTCCTGCAGCAAGTGGTTCTTCCATCATGGTTTCCTGTTGAGTGGCTTAGGAAGTCATGAGCCCTACCCGTTTCCTTTCTTTGGCCTCACGCGCCTTGGTGGATTGTCAAGTGCCTGCTGGATTGTTGAAGATGAGCCTTGAGAATTTAAATAAATTTAGGACATTGTTGGGGTGAGCGTCCTGCGACGTTTCTGGAGAAGGTTCGGATACCATCATGGTCTTCAATAGTCAGACTCAGAGCGGCTGCTGTTCACCAAGGCAAAAGTTGGGGTTCCATGCTGGAGACCGCTACGGATATCCATTCCGGGAGCCAGTGAACGCTTCAGTCTTGGGTTTCTTCAGCAATAGCAGCTGCGGCCTGCACTAGCATTTGGCACTGCATGGATCTGGATAAAACATGACGACCTCACTACGACGTCACTAGAAAGATGATTGGGAAGGGGCAACTATCCCAAAATGGCCTTGGTTTAAGATGGTGAATCCTTATATTATATAGTTAGTTTATGTTAGTTTACCTTGCTTTGTGATTTTTGTGATTTTGCTTGTTGCTACAGTGCGGCAGCCGCTTCACAACTCTCCTGATGAGACTTCCAGGCAAAAGCGCCACGCGCAACATGGACGCCTTCGTGGGTAAGGTGTTGCGGGGCCGAGTGGCGCCCTCCCACGAATCCAATTTGGTACCAAACAGGACCTGGATACGCGGAGAGGTTCAGGAAGTGGTCTGGAAAACTTACCAGAAGGCACCTGGGCCGTGCTGGGACGCCGTCCAATGAGTTGTATGGACATAATTTCTGTAGCTTGCAGCACTCAACATCATAAGGTGATATAAGGTGTGGTCACACTGCTTTTAGACACGGGCATCACGGGACACCTTGGCAGAAAGAATTTACTTGGACACAACAAGTCGTGGATCCAATGCCGAAATGCATCGAAATGATGCAAAATGCAACATAGATACCATCCTGGCTGGTACCCTGGCAGCTGATATTGAACGGGAGCCCATGACTGCCCGAGCAGAACTGCCGGGGCTCTCAAGATACATGTTGTTGGCAAAAGGCCATGTCTAGTGCTGTTTGCGTTTATGCCAAGTCGGTTGGTATCTTTGTTCCAAGAAGATGCATCAAACAATCTGAAGTTTGTTTTCAGGCGTTCACATCCAAGCTTGTCATCGTTGATGTGAGGAGATCAATGGAAGCACCGCAGACATCCTGCTGGAGCTGTATGACGACCAAAGAAAGATTCTGAGCTGTGACTGTTAGCAGCTCTGTTTGGTTTGCTGTTTCGGATGTTTCGGGTGGCTGCTTCTTGGACTCGGAGTGCGTTATTTTCAGATATTCCCATGCGTTTGCGACCTTGGAGTCTACATGGCATGCTGTAGCTGAGGAAGCACCACACCCTTTCAGCCACTATGGAGGTTATAGCCAAGACCTTGAAGGACTACAGAGATCTGAAAGTGGCCCGCATGGAAGTCAGTCAGTGTCTCGGCTTTATGCAACTTGATGCCAAGATCCCTCCAGAGCCTGGCAGTTACTCCTGCAGCGCAACTTGTTTTTTTCAATGCTTCAATACTTTCTTGGAAGCGGAGACCTTATATACAAAGGAAACACTTTGGACACCACATGACTGATTTGCACATGCTTGCTTCTCCCCAGCTACTTGTCGCTGACATGCGGGGTCACATGGACACATGTTGGCCTCTCGATGCTCCACAATTAGCTGAAGGGACCGTGCATGCGCAATTTCATACAATTTCACATTTTACATCGGCTATATGTACAGCACAAGCTGTTCCAACTTCCAACTATGTTCCGACCAAGGAATTACGTGCCACCAATCTTTGGCAGAAAGCAGCCACTTGTCAAAACATGAGGCTGGAAGGATCTGGAAGGTGAAGGTAAGTTTTCAACCTTGATGCCGTTTGCATCCACATGGAGGACAAGATGCTCAGCCACAAAATGTGCTATTTCCTTGCATGAAACATCATGAAACACTTTAATAAAAAAAATAGTTGTCAAGAAGCACTATTGGTTATGATTTCAAGGGGCTTTGACCTGGCCACAATGGTCCAATCTTGAATCTGCAAATGTTCAATGAGCTCGGCATAGCTCAGCTTTTGGATTTGTTTGGCATACTTTGGCCATCTTTGGCCAATCCCTAAACCCTAAGGTTTTCGAAGGACACGGAGTACTATTGGATTCCACCCAGCCTTGCCAGTGGTGAGTGGACCCCAACAGATCCGATTCGCTATGCGAATGACGTGGACGAGGCCCTTTTTGGGCGCCGGTCTCAAGGAGTTGGATGATACTTAGATGGGCCATGGACTTCGGATGACTTCGGTAACTAGTTAGAAAATGGATTGTCATCTGAAAATCATTGATAATTGGCATTATTATTTTATAATATTTTATAGTCATTGTGGAATAACAGTTATAACATGTAATAACCCACTTACCAGCCAGCTAATCCCATGGCCCATCGAAGTAGTGGATGACCCCCAGAACCCCAGCTGTTTCATGCGAGTTTTGTGGAGTTTAGGTCCATCCGTGGATCCAAGATGATCCAAGGGCCCGTTGAGCTGGTAAGGTGACGCCTGGAAAGCTCTTGCGTTTCTTGAAGAAGCACACCTTGTCCAGCTGGTCCTTGAAAGAAGCCCTGGAGTCATCTGATGACATCTCGGAAGAGATCATGGGCTATGCCAGACAGTAACTCTGACAAATACTCCTCAATCAAACATGGCAGCAGGATTGAGCATGTCTGAATGAATATTAGTTATTGGATGAAAATCCAACAACGACATGGTCATTGTCCGTGATCATGGTTATTTACCAGAAGATAATTGCTAAAGGTCATTGCGTCAATGTCATTGATGTCAGGAGTGTTTGGACATGTCTTAGGCTACTCCGAGTCCCACTCCATAGTCCTGGGGAACTTCTGTTGGGTTTGCATGCTTCATCTACTTTACCCGTTTGCCATTCATTTCAGCAAAAATGATTGAAAAGCATATCGGGAATCAAAACATTGTTCCAAGTTTTAGTTTGGCTCTTCCGGGGCCGAGGCAGCAGCAGGCAGATGACCGAGCAGAAGCAGACAAGCAACAGATGATCAAGAAGATGATGACGACCCTGAAGAAGGAAAAGGGCTTAGTAGATGTCGCTGGGCGCTTTTTACGCCGCGGAGTGGCTCCAGCCACATGTTGTTTTTCCTTGCCCCAAAAGGATCCAAAAGGACCATGTGTGCAGAATGGGGAAAGCCCAAAGGCTGGAAGGATCAAACCTTGGGGATGCGCCGCATTTTTCCAATGTGTTCTCCAGACCACGCATCGACATTTGCCACAGTCTGCACGAAACTTCTTGAAGTTGTATGTTTCTGTGATTCCCATCACGCGCAGATAATCAGATATGCGTGTTGTACGAAAATTAACTTACATTTTGATATAGAATATAGATGCAGTTATGTTATACTATGCTATCTATGTTATACTGGTGAGATATGGTGAGATAAATAAATATTGTCCATGTGCAGATATATCATATATCTACATACAATATAGACGTCACTGTAAGCCACATCGGGATAGCCAGGTCAACGAGATGATGGGTCTCAGCTTCTGGTCTGCAAGCGATTTTCCCATGGGTAAATCCCACCATGACTGGGGACTGGGAAGATTTTTTGCGGGTCCCCTTAAGCAAATCCAAGTAGTAGGTTGCCACGTAAGGTCAAAACATGCCAAAAGAGAACAAAGTTCTTTTCCAGAAAAGCAGCAAATTTGGTTCGAACATGTTTGAGTGAAGCACAGGGCATGGTGTCTGATGGGGTGCTGCAAGAGATGCAGAAGTATGAGTGGACGGTTGCTTTCAAACTTCCTCGGGGAGTTCACCTGATGCCTTCAGTCCCACACAAACCAGCCAGCATCCATCAGGAAAAGCTGCTGAGACACTAGGGGAGACCAAGCCGGATTCCAAACCAGTGAAGATGGGCAAAGGAGCTGCGCGTCCACCTGAGAAATTAAGCGCTGAAGAAATGGAAGAGCGGAGGCAGAAACGACGTGAAGAGCAACTTGGCACAAAATCTGATGTTTCCATTAGACGGCGGGGCATCACTGACACTGTCCCACTATGCCAAATTCAAAGTGGCAGTTCTGACACAGAATCTGACACATCAGACGACAAAGCGGTTTTCCACAAAAGGGTCCAGGGGGGGACAGTCAGTTACTTAAGGCTGAGGAAGGAAGATGACAAGCAGAAAGAGATCGCGAGGAGAGGGCATTCAAAGAAGCGCACAAGTAAGTACAAAGTACCTTAGGAAAAGCATGCAACTTTACAAGACATTCATTTTGTGTTGCATTATGTTGCTTTCAGAGTGATTGGCAGCTTTGAAATTGGACTGTCAACGTGTTTGCGATCCTGAAAGCTGTGAGTCCAAATGGAAGAAAACGCTCCATCCACATTTCATGAAACAGGAAAGACAAAGAGAAAAGAAAGCAGAGAAAAGAGGTTGAAAGGCTACGGAAAGAGAAGAAGAAGGCACAACTTGCAAGCTGGCCAGCAGCCAAAAAAAATGACTTGATGGTACTGTAGATGTATCAAAAGCTTGGTGCATGCTTGGGGATTTTATTGTGGATCATGATGATCCTGTTGAAAGGTTCGGGGCCAGGGCATCTTGAGCTCTGGAGAAAAACAATGCTGAAAGGCAGAGGAAGAGAAGAGAAGAGCTGAAGCAGTCAAAGTTGCTGAAGAGATGCTATGCTCTAATTTGGCATGCTCAAAAAAGGATCTTTTTGTCCAAAAACTTTTAGAGTCGAAAGTTTGGATAAGCGTTTATTGCGTCCTTCTCTTGTACTGTATTTGATATTTGTTTCGAAGGCCAGTCCCTGATTGAGTAGCAGCTACCCCTGGCCTGCAATGTATTAACTTCTTGTTGGTGTAGTCATCAGGCAGCCATCCACTTCTACCGATCCACACTGGATTTTAGATGATTTTATTGGTAGAGTGGTTTGTCATATGTGTCCTTGAGACCATGTCCGCATTCACACTTTAGCCTTAAAATATCGTATCCTGTTCAGCTGAAGCCCTCCAAGTTGTTCAACCTTTTCCTGCATGATGGGTGTTGGAAGTTGAGATGGCGCACATGTGCATCCACCAAAGGATCAGTTTTATGTTGTGTGAGACATTTGGTCTCCTGGTTTTGATTGGCATCCTCGATGGACCCTCAGGAAGCGGAGACAGAAGGAAGCCGAGCGCTTGCGGCTTGTGGCAACACCCTTATTCTCATGGGGCCAATCGAAGGCCTGCAACCTTCGCTGTAGCTGCTGAATTGGACTATATCCCATCGCTCAAAATATCTTGGCCTTCCAGAAAATGTTTGGTTTTCTACTAAAGAAGACCCATTGTGTTGGCCCAGTCGTGCCCCCCATTTCGGAGCCATCATGAAAGTTGTTAGTCAAATGTTGCTTGCTGCACCACCTGAGCCAGGATCAGATCCGAGTGTCCATTGCCATCCCTGGAATGCAAAAGGATTCCCTGCAGGTGTGACGGAAATTGGGGCTAGCAGAGTTGCGCCTTTTGTAAATCCGATCGGCCTTAGGGATGTGTACGGCCGTAGGGTTTCATGATAGTTTCGAATTCGCTGTGAGGGCATCTACTCCGACCTTTCCTGTCCACAGGCTCCACATGTGAGAGTTCTCACTTTGGAGGGCAAATTCTATTGGTATCTACATAGGTATACATAGGTGTATACTAGTATGATGTTAATTATATAAATAGTTGTTGTTCACACCCAGCTGCGCGTGAGAAAACTGGAAGGTGAACTTGACAACTGACCGGGTCGCCGTGTCAGCATTGGATTGGCAGACACGGAGGAAGCTTGGATCAGAAAGGTAGACAGGTTACAGGTTGAGCCCAAACGCTGAATTCGGGCGTCACTTTTCTGATCTTTATGGGTTTGGCCTCAGCTTGAAGTTCACCCTGGCTCTTTGCCGTGCCCCTGAGGTACTCTTTAAACTTTGAACTTCGTGAGTTCGTCGTGCCAGACAACTCATCTTGGAACTTGAGGAGTTCGGAGGTGCTGTGGGACGGGGGTGGCCGGCGGCCGGGTAGCTTTCATCAAGCTAGCAATCCTGCAGAGGAAGTGAAGAGCTGCTCCATAGTTCGAGTTTGGTTTGGAGTTGTGTTTTCTTTTCTTGCAATGATAAGGCAGGCAGGTTGAGCCTTCAAAGCCCATCATCCCAACTCCTCATAATGTTCAGCTCCAGTTGCAGGACTCTTCACGCTTGGAGGGTGTCCTGATACTGCTGCAGAAAAGCATCCTGCACCGCTGGGATCGACTTGCCCAGAATCATAGCGCCGTAAAGAACTTCTTGCGAAAAGATTGGGTGCAAGACGATGGCGAGATGGAAGAAGAGAAGGTGCGGTCCTGAAGCCGGTAGATATCAAAGTGCACCAATATGCACCAATGCTTAACCAAGCTGTTTGTTTATATTTTCTCAGCATGTGCCAGCGGCAGTTCCAATTCCTATGCTTCCTTTTTGCATCATACAAGATGTTCACAGATGAAGCATCGCTTAGGAGGAAGTGGAGCTTCCATCCGGGCCAAACATCAAAAAGGTGTCGGCCACTGGACTCCAGAGGCTGCTAGAGAAGCATAGCTTGGTGGTAGCCGCCCCTCGCTATCCATGGTGCGACAAGTGCAAAGAGAAAGATAGGGAGTTTACCAAAGCTGCAAGGTCAAGTCGCACTCAAGACCATTTAGATTCGGCTGCTCGCTTGCTTTGGGTTGGTTGAACATTCCAGAGTGATGTGCCTTTTGTATCCTTTTGTTACGAGATGTTACGAGATGTTTTGCCATTAAGTGTTGCCAAAAGAGTTGGCAAGATGCTTATCTCCATGGTTTCAGTGCAAGATGGTGAGGTCTCTTTTGTCGTGCTAGACGCGCGGGAAGAGAAGTACTTTGCGCGGAAGCACAATGCTTCCTGCACCGATGCCTGCGAGTTACTCATGTTTAAGGAGGATGAGCCAGAGGAGCCATACGCAGTGCCCGGCCGCCGTTTCGCAGAAGAAATCCAAGTTGATTGCTACAAGCACCTTTTGCCTGTAGCCACTTGGCTTGCGTTGATTTTTTCATATTTTCTGACTTCGCATCCAAAAGCTCTCAGAATCCATGGCGCCATGGGCGGGCATTGGGTATGGGCCCATCATGGCCCATCCTTTTCGGAAACCTGTGTGAACGTCGATTTCTGATCTTGGAGGTTCCTTCTTGAGTCGCTTTGAGGTGAGCATCATCAACAACAAGACACACTTCGATCGGGTCCTGACTGCCTTTGATACAGCCATCATGGGTTTCTTCCAGAGAAATGCCTCAGATTCCTGGTTTCATCGCTTCCGCCAGGCTTGCCGATGAGGGGTTGGAGATGCAACTTCAGTTGTCAAAATTCGGGAAAACCGAAAACCAAAGACCTATAAAAGCAGTTGAAACCTTGGAAACCCATGGAACTTCCAAGAGTTCCTCTTCGCCAGACCACATCCATCCTGAACGCCCCCTTAGCCCATCGGCAGGTGGCTCGTGAGCTAAGAGGACATGCCCTCTTTGGAGCTGTGTTCAATGGAAGCCCTGCTGAGATGGGCATCGACTTCAGGGTTGCCTCGGAAGTCGAAGCGGATGGGCGACCCTTGGTGCTGCTGTTCAAGCCAAAAGAGAAACTGAGTTGCAAGATGGGGGTGTTTGAAACTGGGGGTGTATCCCCCAAAGCATCCAAAGCGCCATGCGCTTAGAAAGTGATGGTTTTTAGCTGTGGATTTAGGGATGCCCAGTTTCAGACAAATTCCGCTGGTGCCAAGAATCTGAGCCAATCTGAGCATTCTGAGCCCCAGGCCCCAGGGCCTGAATTCATGCTGATGGGGAACAGTATGGCAGGGTCTGTGCTGAGTTATTCAGAGGGGGTGGCTTTGGAACACTATAGTGAAAGGCTGCTGGCGAATCAACTGTTATCAGATGAGGCTCCACAATGATTGTTTGAGGATCTCTGTGGCAGGTTGTCCATATTTGCCCCATGCAGATGCATATTTTGCAGGAAACAAACGGATTCTCATCATGTTAACACATTTGCTCTCAACGATATTCTGAGGAACCGACACGTGGAGTTTACTGGCGAGCTAACTTTGGAGACTCGTCTTATTTTATATAGATCCATGGGCGACCCATGGCGACCCGAAAGCCGGGGCACGGCACATGGCAGCAACCGTCAAGTGTCGAAGCCACCTGTCGTGTGGCCAGGAGAAGCTGTCGCATTTCTCGAAGGTTCTGAGTTTGCCGCTTCTTTCACAGTACACCCCGGAAAGCCGGCAGAAGTACATCGAGCTTCAGGCCCTGCGCCAGTCCAGGGCTGCCCCAAATTGATGATAATGGGAAGGTGGAAGCAACATGGCGTGCACCCGTAAAACTTTGAGAGTGCTGAGATGACGTATTACGACGTAAAGATCGGAAAGAAGATTAGAGAAGGTCTTTTGTGTCTTCTTTGTTGGAAGCAGGAACTGCGAATAGACTTGGACAGTTAATCTATGAAAAGAGCCGCTTCCAGGTGCCTCTGGGGATGCTATGGCTGGACGGTGAGGATGCAGATCGTCCTGAGAATCTTGCAGCCAAAGAGGTCAGCATCAGCTGGGCAGTGATGGTATGGTACTAAGCGGGGTCTACCACAAACACTTTGTTATACTTTGTTCACGTGATGGAAAAATATTGCCCGTTGTGTTGCCCAAAGATCTTCAAGTGGAAAGTGTTTCTTTTGTTGTGCGGCAGACAGTGGGTGCTTAGAATCCTGCAACATCATGTAACATCTACATATGCCGCATGTTCTGCATGGCTGCCAAGCATCTTTTGCTTGACGACCTGCACTTGCAGGTCGCTCAGCGTTTGGCCATTCGATTCTCAGGGCATTTGGTCTTCGTGACCCTAAACAACACCCGGGATGGGTTCCTCGGACACCAAGTTCGCTTCTTCAAGTCATCATTCCTGCCAGTGCTTCCCACCACACCTGGACTTTGCAAACAAGAATTGTCCAACTCATCCACAGGCTTGTCATTCCTTCAAGTTTCCATCCCGGAGCCATCCTGAGAGTATCTGAGTATATCTCAATCTCATGTAGTATAATAGAATACTGGTTGCTGGTTTGGAGCATTTTTTATTTTTCCATATATTGGGAATAGTAATCCCAGAGGGGTTGAAACCACCAACCAGTCATAGATGTAATTATGTAGCCAGCATCAGCAACCATCAGCTGATCTCAGCTCAGCTCTCCAGGTTTCTACTGAGACCCTTCGGCTTGGACCCGCGACGGGTGCCATGTTTTGGCTTATCGTCCTCCGAAGCGCCAGAAGCGAACCGCTTTGCCTATGAGTTGCTGGGAATGGAAATGGGCAAACGGGGGAGGAAGAGGGAGTTATATTGATGGGTGCTTGCGAATCTTGCATGATTTGGATGGTAGAGCCAGGGCACTTGCAAGATTGGATGGATTTTTTGCAGAATTTTGAAGTACTGTAGTTTATTTCAGCTTGCAAGCCGGGAGAAGGAAATTGGTTCATTCATACATTGACATACTGTTACATACCTGTAGAATCAGCTGAAATTCAGCTGAAATCTTCCGCAAAAAGGATCGTTTGGGCAGGGCCAGCTATGGCTTGGTGGGAAGCCAAGGCCAGAGGTAACTTCGACTTCGGATTCCTTTTGGCTGCAATCTGACGCCTTTCAGCGTTCCTGGGGATGCACAAGCTCAACTTGCATGACATATGGTATGCATACCGGTGCAGAAAGAAACCTTAAATATTGTGCAGAAAGAAACCTTAAATATTCAGGTGATACAGTTGTGACTGCAGGATTACTTTCTGAATCATTTTCGTTTCAATGTGTCACCCTTCATTGGTAGATGGCTCAATCAAAAACTGAGCTGGACTCCAAAAAGCATGGAAATGATATGGTTTTGGATCACAATTCAAGCTTTCCCATGCCCATTTTTTGGATAGTTTGGCCGTTTCATGTGTTCCAGTGCCCAAATCTGGATATTGTCCCATATGGCAAATATCCATAAAAGATGGTCACATGTCAAAGAGCATTGGGCAGTTCGGGAGAATCATATATTTCTGACCCACCGGAGACGCTTTTCCGACGCCCAGGATTGGAAGCCTTCTGCAGCGCATTTCTAAATGGAACTCTTGAGGCACCGGATTGATGCACTGGAAAATGGGTGGAAATTTGGGGACCGGAGGTCCCGTGCCATAGGAGGATACAAAGGGATATAAGATGATATAAGGCCATATTTTGTGTCGATATTTCATTACATGGGCCTGTCACAGCCTTACACGGACCTTTGCATGGATCAGTACCTCTCATTTAGGTGCCTGAAACATAATCACAGAATCTAGGAAAACAAAGGGCCGGAGTTGCCAAAGTATGCTAACAGCACTAACAGCACAAGTGCATCCAGCCGAAGATCGGTTCAGTCCAAACCCGGGTCACCACGTGCGAGGCCTCACACGAGTCTGCCAAGCTGCCCAAGTCCTACCGTTGGCCAGGGCCAGGGCGGGTTGAAGAGGCCTGTTTTTTCATGTGCAATTTGGACAACGCACCGCTATGCGATGGCTGAGGTGGTAGAGATGCTCAATACTCGTGATTCATGTTTAATTTTAATGGCGTTGTTTGAGGATGATTTGATAGTTCATTTGATCTGGATTTCATTTTTTCTGATTTCGAATAAGGTTTGGCTCAGAGAATCTTGTCCAGCTTGGGCCGACTAAAGTCCACCCCAGAACAGATGGCTCTCGCCTTCACTGCAGGGGTGCCACAGACAGCACCACTTGCAGTAGAGCGGCCAGGCCAGTCGCAAGCACCGAGGCTTGGTTTGAGAGACCAGGGGAACGGCGCTTGCATTTGCCTTGGTGCGGCAGCCCTGGCATTTGCAGCTATCAGGAGGTCAGAGTCTTCCACCTCATGCCGCGCTGCTGCTGTGAAGAAGAAGGGTGTGAAGGTGGTACATGGAAAGGAGATCCCCTGGAATCTTTTCTCCCCCAAGGCTCCATACAAAGGTGAAGTGGTGAAGAATGTGGTGCAGCCTCACACCTTGACTGAGCAGACTGGCGATCCCAACTGGGAAACTTGTCATGTGACCTTCAACCACGGTGGCAAGGTGCCATACATTGAAGGACAATCCATTGGTGTCATTGCGCCAGGACCTGACAAGAAAGGCGAGACTCCTGCAAAGATTCGGCTGTACTCCATCGCATCCTCGGCCGTCGGTGATGATGAGACCAGCAAGACTGTGTCTTTGTGCGTGAAAAGAGTGGTCGAGGTGGATGGTAGCTATGCAAATCGTGAGGTGGGTGAGGACAAGCCAGACAAAGCTGGAACGGGCTTCCCTGAAAACAAGGTCTACCGTGGTGTTTGCTCCAACCACATTTGTGACATGAGCCCAGGGGACGATGTACTCATCACAGGTCCTACTGGGGCTGAGATGTTGCTACCAGAGGATCCGGAGGCAAACATCATCATGCTGGCCACAGGGACTGGGATTGCCCCCATGCGTTCCTACTTGCGTCTCCTTTTCCATGACAAAGCTGGGGCAGCATCTGGTTTGAAGGCCAAGGTCGGTGGCTTGTTCGGCAAAGCTCCTCGGAAGTTCAAAGGCCTGGCCTGGCTGTTCATGGGGGTTCCTTACTCCAAGTCTTTGCTCTATGATGATGAGCACAAGGAATACAAGGAGAAGTTCCCTGACAATTTCCGCTATGACTATGCAGTGAGCCGCGAGCAAAAGAATGCCGAGGGACAAAAGATGTACATCCAGACCAAGATGGCAGAGTATGCTGATGAACTTTGGGATTTGATGCAAGATGAGAAGACTCATGTCTACATGTGTGGCCTGAAGGGCATGGAAAGTGGCATGGCCGAGTGCTTCGGACCCATCGCCGAGAAGAATGGAAAGGTTTGGGCCGAATTTGCGAAGGCCATGAAGAAGGCCGACCGATACCACGTGGAGGTCTACTGAGCCCGCACCTTTGCCTTTTTTTTGAAATACAGATAAATACAGATTGTTTGTTTCAGCAGCCAGAGGGGGCCAGGGTAGTGAGCCCTTTAAGTGCCACTTCCTGGATGATTTTCTTCATTTTTCAGTGCCGTTTTTGGAAAAGAATCCCTGCATATTCTTGAGCGATCTTGAATAGATTCAAGACACGCTGCTGTGTGTTGTTTCTGGCCTTACTCTCTTTTTCTTTTTTTACTTTTATCAACCAGCTCGGATGGTGGACTCACCCAAGTCAAAGTTGACAAGCACTTCAGGGGATTGGACCAGCTGCCCTTACAACATCTTTGAATCGCAGGTGGTATGGAAGACCTTCCGCTCCTCGCTTGCTGGGGAGAATCTCCTCCTGGAGCTATACTCACCATATCGGCCGCAGCATCGAACCCACCTGGTGGTGCCTTGACTGCAGCTACATGGCCCAAAAACTGGACCCTGAAAAAGATGGGTTGGCACGATTTTTGAATCAATTTCATGCAAATTTGGGGGTGTTTACCATGGTTTGCCAATGTTTGCCATATTTTTGGTTTACCATGATTTCCTTCAGCCGCGTGTGGCAGGTGTTGGATTTGGTGGCAGAGGCGCTGGCAAATGTGACCACCTTGAAGGTGTGGAGATGGTCGGATTGGCAAGTTCTTCAGGTGTCGAAATTTGCCGGTAGCATGTAGGACGTTTGGATTCCTGTCCTATGACCTTTGAATGCTATTCTATGCCCTCCCAGCTTTTGAACGTACTTTGCCAGTCCTATCCCATGGACGCATGACTTTCGATGCCGGCACAGGTCCCCAAGAACTTGCATAGGTGACCTTGGTTTCCAGCAAATCTAGGGTACTGCATCAGTTGAGTTTGGTTCGCCCTGCGCACTTCTCCGTCAACAAAACCATACAGTTGAATCGCACAAAAAAGCACAGAGAGAGTACTGTTCTGATGTTTCCGGCATTCTGATGGATTTTGCAATATTTTGCATATATATAGGGGATGGAGGTGACCCATAGGGTTGAGATCAAACCAGGCGTTCTTTCTGCGACGTATGTTCTATCCAGGTGGCTCGGATGGATACGGCCAACAACTACGTCCCCCCAGAGTTTGAGCTGAAGGACTTGGGACATGCGCTGAAATGGACATGTTTCTCTTTACCCTCTCTACCCTCTGTTATGAAACAGTGTTTGCTGGAAAATCACCATTTATCAATGATGTTAACATTAAACCCCCATTTATATATAAGAAATTGATAGAAATTGCATTTCCATGAATTTCCCATTGCCATGTTTGATCGCCGAATAGTTGTTTGATTGAACTTTAGAATTATAGAATTGGGATCCACTGGGATCACCAAAAGCAACCAGTTGGGGGGAAACATGACCGGCCAATCTGCGAGTTTGGTCTTCAAAACTGGCCCACGGAAGTTTGATCATCAAAAAGCATCTTCCCAGGTCATCCCAAAACAAAAAAAAACACACATCATCCCAAGCCCTAATCCCGGGATGGCGATGGAGAGAAAGTCCAATTCATGTTTTATCATGTTTTATTTGTATCACAGATGTTCCCAAGATTTTGACCCGAGAGAAGATATGGCCAGGACAAGGAAAAGTCCTCCAGCGTCTACTTCCGCGGCGCGCGAAGCGGGCCCTGGCGCCGCTTTGCGCCCAAGGGCGGTGCCGGCCGCGCCGAAGAGCTGCCCAAGCAGATGCTGCGCTTCCTGCACCGTAAGCCTGGCCGAGATGACGGCGGGACGCAAGAAATCCTCAGTTTTGGGGGATGGTAAACATGGTTAAAACTATGTGAAACTATGTAAGGCATGGTAAAACCGTAAAACCTGCTAAAACTAGGGTTGCCACAGATTTCAATCAGTTTTTGTATGTTTTTGTTGTTTTTTTGGGATTGTCCGGGATGGCCCCTGGTTTTGAGTTGCCATAGTTAAAACAATGAAATTAAATCATTTTTGTGAAATGAAGTATGGATGATTTGGCAACTGGTACCATATCCATATATAGAATTCAGAGGTCCAGACTCGGCATAAAACGTTTTATGGAACGAGAATCTGAGGGTCTCCCCCTCCCACTTTATAGCCAGCTCATTTTATAGGAGGATATGGTACTTGCCAGTAACCTCAACGCCCCTCAATTTATAGAGGGGTGGTGTGCATCAGTGAAAAGGTGTATAAAACCAGATATAAAGGTCATCAAAATTCATAATGCCTCCAATTTTGTGGATTTGGATGGGATGAAAGAAGAAGAGGGGAAAGGGCAGGACAAACAAACACTTCACAGTTTGCCTGATAGGATCTGACCAATGACAATCACTACAAATATATATAATCCACTTTCATTTACCCACCGCATCTATCCTCATCTCACCATCCCCAATCACACTACCCCATGCTACCCCAGTCTACCCCATCACATCCACCCTCTATAGCATGACAATCACTGACCCCCCTTTGCGTTCCATATCCCAGGAGTGGAAACCAAACATGAGGCTCAACCAATCTGGAACCCCAAGTATTGCAGTCTTACACGTTGGGCCTGGCAATTTTATAGAAACATGTTTCCATCTGCTTGCACCCATCCATGAAAACCCTACAAAGCTACGTATATCAAAGAAACTAATGTGAAACATCTGTCTGAACAAGTCCTGGTGAAAAGCAGTGGCCATATGGGTGAATACTTCAGTGTTGGGAACCTTATTGGTGCGTAATGTCTGTCTATGTATATCAACATGGTGACTCAAGCAGAACCAGGTTCAACCTAAATCAACATACCAGCCAGGTTCAATCAGATTCATCCATATGCATCCATCACCTGTCATCGATGATGTTTTGAAAAGATTAGGGCAATCCAGGTATCAAAGTTTGATGAAGTTTGAGAAAACATCCAAAAACCCACGTGAGACATATGTTTTTGACCTCAATGCCTTGCATTTTATAGATGGCATGCCTTAAAATTCAATGTTCCTGACAGGGTAGACCCCCCCTTCAAATTATAGATTTTAAGGGGTCTGACCCCTTGAAATATAGACATGTCTGGGGTCCAGCCCCACATTTTATATCTACAATGGCGAGTAGGACCCCTCCCCCCGAATAGTAGCAGGTATATGATTTGACCAGATGGTGGGTATTCAGCAAGACTACAGTTTCTACAGAAACACGTTGATTTTCAGGGCAATAAATGAAACAAGGAGTTTCAACTCTGGTGTCAACTTCTAGGGCTCCATCGCAGGTTGCCCGAAGCAGCAAGTGGGCTGATCCATCCTGCAGCCTGTTCCAAGGTGAGATGAAAAGTGCCGCTACTTTTGACTTGACGGAGCGGCTCAACTGGGTGAATGCTGAGGCAGCAGCCTGGGGTGTGCTTCGGGTGATCCATGCCAGCAACTGGACATCCGCCGAGCAAGTGAGGATTAGAACGGCATTGTCATAACATGCTTCCAAGTCGCAACATGGGTTTGTTTGAAAATAGGTTCCCCCCAAAAAAAGGAAAAAGAAAGTTGATTCATCGATGGCTAGCCATGATTTACCCCAATTTAAGTCAAAGCCGCATTGTGTTCCAGTTGATTATGGGTTGTGCGACTTGGGCCTTCGTGGCAGGCACTGATCAGGATTCGCCGCCTCAAAGCCCTGGAGAAAGATTACGAGAAAAAGATGCAGGACTGCATACCCACGAAATCCCCCGGAAAACAGGGGTAATGTGTTCTCATGTTTTCTCACCGAAAGTAAGCATAATAGTACATGATGATATGTTATGTAACATGTATACTGAAGAAGGATTGAACATGATGGTGGCAAGCATGTACAAACATCCCGCTGAATCTCAAGCAACCATGCCTCAAAAAGGTGTGATGCATTCCTGCAACCACCGGACAGGTTGCCACGTCTAGAATCAGGCAATATTCCAAGTCACCGGCAGGACGAATGGATGCAAAAGGAAATGGAGGAGTTTGAGCGCTACAAGCGCCTTGGGAAGTTTGACAATATCAATTTATGACACGGTGCCTGTCCTGCTGTCCTGGATTGGATGCAGGGGAACAGATGGCAAGCGCCAAAGCAGCACCGTTGATCCCGCGCTGACTGGGAAGGGTTTGCGACGCCGTGTGCTTTGGAGAGGTTGGGCAAAAGCAGCCAGCGCTTCCAGCCTGAGAGACTGTTAATGCTTGAGGGCCAACTGCTTCTGCAGAAAACGTCGCTATACATGTTACCAAGCGTTTGATGCAAGTACACCCTAGCTATGTTTAGCAGCCACCATGTGTTCAAGTAGAATAGCCAGGTCAGCCAGGTAAAGTCGCCGCAGCCGGAGATGCATTTGGGACCCTGGAATGCCCTGGCACCTAAGGCCCTTCGACAGTGCGACGCCTTGGAACGTCGATTGCATCAAGCCTGGGTAAAGGCGCGCAGTATGATTCATGCATATTTCCGGTGGACTACAACAGTAGACCTATCTTAAGCAATCTTATAACTTCTAGGGACTTCTAGGTTTTCTACATTTGTATTTAAGCGCTTGTTTGTGCACATGCGGAGAGGAAAAGATATGCACAGTCCATGTGCACACATGAGCAAAGATGCTTTTGCATTCCACTCAGGAAGCTCCAGTGCATCCAGGCCTTGGAAAGCCTTGAGGTTTTGAGGTCTTGATGGATTGGTTTGAAACATGGAATTCCCGTTGTCATTCATTGTCCATGCTAGCTGTGATGACTACTATTTGTCAGGTGGTGAAACCGCTGAAACCAGCAACCACTATCAGTTGGATAGCAATTTGCAGATGATCTGCCGCGGTCGACAGTGATGTAACCTAATTCCGCATGTCCATTTTACCATGTTTAGTTTTGACATCAACATGCTCCTCCTGATGAAATCTGATAAATAGAATGATTGCGAGCATGTCCTGGTATGGCAAGAGTCTCGGTAAATGGCGTTTCCCCCAAGGAGTCATTTGTTATGTAGGGTTTCTTGACTACTATGGGGCGTTCCAAACATTTCTATTCTAATGTTCAGAAATATCAGAAAGATCCCCCAGTCACTTGTTGCAAGCTGATTGCTTTGGATATGTTTGCAAGCCGATCTGCATAGGCGAAAACCATGGCAAAGATCTAGTGGCCTGTGCTGATAGTGTTGGTGCAGATGCTGCCAGCGACTCAGGAAGGCATTTCGTGCGGATTGAAACTGCTGTATGCATGTTGAACGCACCCTGAATGTTCCAAGTTGACCGTGTTGCATCATATACACATATATAAACAGGGGGTTTTCTCGACGTTTGCCACGGAATGCTTGCCACACACGTGTGCCTGCAACATGTTCAGAATGCTTAGGTTGAAAGCATGCTCCGTGCCGAGTCCGTAGCCATGCGCACTGCGATCCGTTTCTACGACACATTCTCAGCCGAATTAGGGTGAGGAGCGGTTGATCTCAAACCTGCTTGAACAGTGATGGGTGGTGTCCTTGAGTTCTTCTGACGAATGATGCTGACGCATACTGATTTCATATGCATGTACAACTCAGTAGCAGGGCACCTGCCCAGACTGTGTGTGTGTGTGGTGTGCGATGCAACTTGAGCTGTTCCACATGCCGCCGTATCTTTTTACTTTTCGGCTCAGTGGTGCCGCAGTTGAAGGGGCGGTGATTCCAAGCTTAATCCAGTGCACCCATTAGATTTCCCACAGCAGCAATTTCCATAAAGCTCAGAATCCAACAAACCGTGCAAACAAGTTCCATTTAGACTCTAGACCTAGAGCAAGTTCAAGGAGTGCGGCCAACTCTACCAAGTTAAACCAATCTTCCATTGCGGTCTTAGAACTTGGCGTATAAACACATAAACTTGACATAAACGCATGGTCCCTTGATACCCTTTGGGGGCCTACATTGCCCCAAGCTTTGCATAGCCCCATCGCTCAAAGAGCGGCACATGAGTGAGACTTCCAGCGGCCTGCCTGGAGGTTGGGATACTGTCACTATGCTGTCACTTACTCATCAGAAAAAATCGATGGTCCAGCCTTTAGCACTTCGGTGGTGAGGTCTCTATGTGCCGGATTTGCTGTCAACTTCGAAGGAGGTGGGACAGAAAAGTGCAGCAGAATCTGGGAGTCCAAACCAAAGCAGTGAAGAAATACCCAAAAAAAGAGGAAAACCAGTACAGTAGCCGTGGTGTTGCTTCTTAGATGTCAGACTGTTTATCCAATCCATTCCAATCCTGTTTTCGCCACTTTCTTCACCGCATGCCACAGGTTTGGATCGGGCGCCTCAGATGTGACTGCAGAACAAGGCGCAACTAGCTTGGGACCAGGATGTGGTCGCTACGTTGAGAGAAATTTTATGAAATTAATTACAGTGTTTGTCTCAAGTTGGATTAATGTTCTGATTTCTTATTTTCCTTGGTCCCAGCAGGTTGGGTGAACAAACTAAATTTCATCAGAAGTGTGTGCCTGTGTGTGCGCACGTGTGTTTTCTGATAGGATCATTCAACACGTTGGACGATTTGGATATGGATTGAGTATATACTAATATATATATATATACATATATATATATGCGTTTGTATGTGTGTGTGTGCGCGTGTGATCACCAATGTGTTCTTTTGTGGATCTGTTCAGATGAACAAAAGCAATGGAATTGACAACTTCAATTGCATGCCCTTGCCAGCCCTTGCAGGAGACCAATCGGCCGAAGATGGAAGCAGCCGATTATTTGGCCGAGGTTTTTTCAAGAGGAACCAGCACTGGGAAAGGAGTTCTTGGAAAGGACTTGTACAATCAATCATCTAACAGTATGCAACCGCCAATTGTTCCATGGATATTTTTGTGTGGCTCTGAAGATCTCTGAAGTATTGCCCCAGGAGTAACAGCATTGAAGACAACGGCAATCCTCCCAAGGACCGCTCCAGTTGCGTCGCTCCGAGGGGGTGCGAGTTGGGTGATATCGTGATACTCCAGAGTAGCGCCGGGTCCATGGCTTTGTTTATCGCATGTGTTATATGTGTGTTGTTGAAACCAGGCAAGCCACAAAAGATTCGATGCCAGGTGAAACTTGATCCTTCCTTTATCCTTTTTTGCCTTGTGCTCTCCAAATATGAAAAATCCTTGAAGTTTGCTCCGAGTCGCAAACCCGAAACCACTGCGCTGGAGGAAGACCGGAAGGTGAGAGAGTCAGAGTGGCAGAAGGCGCCAGCAGAATGTTACATACTGTACTGCTGTGAGCATACAATATATGCTGATGGTAATGATGGTGCTGATGGTGATGAGTGTCCCGATGAGTGTTTAGTAACTTAGTGGCTTGCGGAACGTGTCATCCTAGCCCTTGTTGAACAACCTATCGCTGCGTCCGAGGCGCTGGAGATTGAGGGAATCGAGCAGGAGCAACGCCTTTGGGCACCTGGGCAGCTGAATTGTTTTTGCAAGTTTCTCAACTTTTACCACTGAAAGTCCGTGATAATCCATGTCCATATGTCCTTGAGGCCTTCTGCCGGTCAGAGTATTTGAATTGAGATTCATGAATATGCTGACGACCAGCTCCTTTCAGACTCCTTTAGTGCTTGCAAGAGACTGATAGTGCTTCTGGGGGCATCTCCAGAATGGCACCTTTCCCGCCACAGAGAATGCTCACAGCTTGTGCAGCTTAGGTTGAACACTCGGTGACTTGGCCAAGTTTTTGATGAGAGCGGCGTGCTCGGTGTGAACATGTTGTTTCCTAGCCGGACACTATTTGTAAAGAAATATGAACAAATTCTGGCCATAATTATTCTAAGGTATCAGATATTGTCAACATGCAGGTTCAGTTTATATAGTCAGCTGTTTCCAAAAGCCCCTCTATGGCCCCCATAACGAAGAACCAATCATTTGAAGTAATTGAACTACGTTTGAACGTTTTTCAGGTCAGAACCTTCCATATACCAACCCATCCTTTGCACATTCAAAGGTCCATGGACGACTGCGGCATAGCGCTGCCAGTTTCCGCCAGGCTTTTGAGTCCTTCATTGGTTTCATGATCCTTCTGAGCACCATTTGCACTGGGTTGGAGATTGACCTGGAGGACCCTCTCAAAACCAAGGGAAAGGAAAGATGGGCATATACTACCAGTGTTGCCACCGGGCTGCCTGTACTTGATCTAATCCAGCGATGCGCCAGCTGTTTCTGGTTATTCGCTCTATGGTGATTTCAAGCATGTCCCAATGATTTGCGACCATTGTTTTGCCATATGCTGTTGCTTTGCAAGTTTCGCAGGTTTGTGATGTAAGATGCAGCAATGCAGTCAGTAGCTTAACTGGTCATCAGTTGGAAAAGCAAACATCTCGCGGAATTGGTTTGAGATTTTTCCGGGGCTTCCAACCTGCAAACGTGAAGGATACGACGGATCCTGCAATGTGGCTGGCGATTACGAAGCTTGGCACTTCAGAGATCATGAGGGAAGTGGACAATATTGCCATGGTCGCAACGTATATTTGCATTGTTGGGAATTCTCAGCTTGCTGCCACTTTTTTGCACCTCTGCACTGCTGAGGAATATCTTTTGTGCAGCTTGGCTCCGTTGAGTGAGCAAACATCTAATTATAGAATCATTCGAAATCATTAGGTCATTAGAATCCGAATCACTGGAAGTTCCATGAAGTTCTGAAGTTCCTGTTTCTGGCTTGAGGGTTTGGAATTTGTGGTGAGGGTGCCTGGAACTAGACTTGGATTATCAATTGAATATCAGACATGTAGTAAGCCAAGAGCCATGAGACAGCAGGGTCATGTTGACATTTGTACGTCTGGGAATGCATTGTGTCTCTTCAGGTAGCGTGGATCTCTGATTCTTGGCTTGTATACAGAAAGCAAACAGTGAATCTCCGTATCCTGTAGCATACTGGAACCTGGTCTCTTTGATGGATGTGACACGAGCGTGGCCAAGTTCAATTCTACAACGACTGGTGTTTTAATAAGGTGTCCTGTTTTCATACTGCATCATTCTGATGAAGGTAATTCAAGTCGCAAGTTGATTTGTTTCAAGCCTCATGTCCTTTGGACCAGTAGGCCCGGAAGTGAAGTCTGCGAAATGGCAGCAACTGAGGAAATGATCGCCAAGCTTTGGGTGCTGAGAAAAAGATATTTTCAGGACACGGTCTTCATCGCGTTGAAAATCCCACCGGACGAAACATTGGCCAAACCCAGAGATTTCGCGACCGGATTACATTTCTTATCATTTCTTAATGCCCTTTGATCTTTGAGACTCTGCTTCCAGTGGATTTGCAATGTACCATTCATTGATAAAGTTGTTGCTTCCCTGTTGGTCCGTGTTGGGCTATCCTCCCCAGGACCCTTTGAACTATGTGGATATGGCCTTGGTGGCATCTCGGCGTGGTTAGGGATACATGGCAGGACTTCAATGGATGGGACGAAGAGAATCTGAGGACGTATCCGCAAAACATGTATGTTGGTAATCGCAATTTGGGATATGGTAAACGTTTAGACTTTTTCTAAAAGCTGTTTGCCTCTCATATTTTTATGTTGCTGTGAAGAAATTGGTGGTTTGCATTCTGAACATGTCCTTGTTCTTGCAGCATGACCCAGGTACTGTCAGCAGCTTGGTTGCAGGTAATCACACGCAGTGTTTTTGCTCAACATAGAATTTGTTTGCAGCATTGGGGGAGGGAAGGAATATGGATTCCAAAGTCCAAACTCATGTAGATTAATTTAAAATCTGTTGGCTTGCTGACAGTATCCCGATGTGGCTTCAGAAACCCTTGAGAGTCGTGAGCCTCAGCTACAAAAAAGGCTGATGACCAGCGGCTCTTCCCTCAATCCTCGGAGACGTTTTATGAGTTGTTCCATCCCCTCATCGAATCATCTATCCATCCACAGACAGAGCCAGTGCAGCCAGCAATACTAGCTCGCAGGAAGATCATGTACACATCCCTTGGCGGGGTGTTGCACAGAGTGTTTCAATGACAGAAGGGTGCCTGCAATGATCACTTGGGTTCCAGTGCTGGGAGAAGATGGCCATGGGATGTGAACCTTTGACCATTATCCGTAGGTATTCGATGCCTGGATCATGCCCTTCATAGTTGCTTGGGTGAGCACTGTTAGTTTGTGCAACACCTTGAAAGGTTCCGTTGATTGTGGCCAGTGATGGCCAGTGAGTGCACACATTCAATACCATATTGATGGCACAAGAGTTTGGGCGGAGCATGGCGGAGCCAATGTCTCTGATGATGAATGTTTGTGAATGTTTGGAGGGTTGTCTAGCAGTCTAGCCAATGCTTGGACATGTTTCACTTTGGTCTCAATGCATTACATGCACACTACTAAGATATTAAGTCACGACTATGAATCTCCATGGTTTGGTGGTCACCGCAGTTTTCCTGCCCCAGGAAGTCTCTTCTGGAAATCTGATTCTTTTTCGTTTGCTACGCTTGATGCGGCTACTGCGTTTGGTGAAGCTCCTTCAAGTCTTGAGAAGATTCAGGCGCAAAGATGGCACAAATCCAGGTGTGTTTGGTACCATCCCTGTCGGCCAGGAACTTGTGGCTTATGGTGCAAGGACTAGTCGAGTCTGTGAGCACCTTGAACTGGGTCATCTTGATGCTACTTGCCCAGCATTGACGAACATCCCCATACATAGACTGGCTCTGATGAGTGCACCGTTTTGTCCAGCGAGGATTCCCATTGTTTTGTTGCCTAGATTGCACCACTGGTTTTTGGGGATCGAAAATCTGGTGTTCTTATGCAGGATCGAAAATCTGGTGCACTCATAGACTCATAGACATACCTCCCATACTCAGACTCACATGTGGGTTCGAGAATGTCTTCAAGCCATTGTTGCTCCGCAAAATTCGTGGTCACAGCATGCCTGGCATCTCGTTGAGGTTGTGCCTGGTGATGTACAGCTTCGCTGTTTGCTACTTGGATGAAGTGGCTCCCCATTGGCAGATGTGGCTGCGGCAATGGACATCAATGGACCACAAAAACAAAGTGAGGGGTGAATGGGGAAGCCGCTTGAAGCCATGCGACGTGAGGTTTACGGCTAGCTGTGGATTGCAATGGTGCATTTTCGGATTGGACTGACTGCGAGCAGTTTTTCGGCGCCTTGGCGGTCTGGAACTGGTGGCCGTCAAGATCGCGGGCAGGTGTCTTCCGTATTCGATATTTATTGATATATATATATATATGTGTGTGTGTGTATATGTATGTATATATATATATATATATGTGATTATATGCTGTATATCGGTGTGATATGTTCCATGCTTTTCATCGAATCTACAATGAGCTGATGGGAAATGTCCCAGGACAAATTAAAACCAATCCACTGGGCCCGTGCCAAGGCACAATCCCTAAGATCATGTACAGCTTGGTGCAGGTTATCACGCTGGAGCCGGGCGCTGCGGTCATGTTGGTTTCTGTCAAGGGCACTGGGACCCACTGATGTTGATTGGTTAGGATTTGTTAGGATTATATGGAAATTATTGTCATTTATTATGTTAGTTTTAAATATGTTACATATATATATATATTTCTATATACGATTCCAATTTGGGGCATAGCTAGTTCTGAACCACATTCATGTGGTTATTGCTGTTTTTTATTTAAGATTGGGATCGTGTCAAGAGGCTGTCGGCTGTTGCCAACAGACTCATATTCCTCAGCCGCCATTGCAGGAGTCATGGAATATGACCATTGGACGCCCATTGGTGGAGCGTGAGCCACTGCTCTTTGTCTTGCTTCTTCTGCGACTCGGTGATTATTTGGGTTGTGGGCTATGGCCATCAGGACTTCTTGGGATTGAACAAACTGAAAACATCCTGATGACATGCGGTGCAGGACTGCGATCTAGAATATCACCTAGAGCCACTTCTGGCTTCATCATGATCATGAATCACCATAGGAAAGGTTTACCCTCGCTTCGTTCCATGTTTGTGTTTGCCGTCGTTCGCTCCTGGCCTTTGCTTCCCTGTTCTGGCTCCGGGATGCTTGTGGCATTGCTAGTTGATCTTAAAACCTTCCGAGTGCTTGATGGATTTCTCATGATTTTATAAAAGCTTCGGCGGCTTCGAAGCACTGACCAGGTCTAGTTCTACTGTAATCATGCATGAAGTTGGTTTGTGCCCGCAACATAGCAACCAACCCGCGATGCTGAGGTTTATTTTTCTCACAACCTTTGGCTTGCTAAACATCATCGTAGGCGGGCCAAAACGTGTTTCCGATTCCCACCTCCACATGTTTTTCAGACACTACCAAGGGTGAAGGAAAAGGACCAAGGAGTGGAAGGAGAGCATCCATTTGCCAGAATGCCGTTGGTATTGCGCCTTGCGTCTTGTGAGCTCACAGTATCCATCTAAGAGTCGTTGGTTTTTTAAAGGAACGTTTGTGATCTTTTGTGAGAACTCTTGTAATAGAGATTGGACTTCAGCTTGGAAGTGCTTGCTCCAGGCGTCATAGTGGAGAACACTTTGAACATTGCGCAGAGCGATCAGGTGCCTCCACTTGCACAGAAGGTTAGGCTGATCAGGCAGCTTTGTCCCGATTCTATCCTAAATTCCATCCCAGGTTGTGTTGGTCACCCATCCTAAAGTCTTGTCGCTGTATGTTAATGGCATCATGGCGCGATACTCCCAATATTTGCTTTGTTGCATCCCAACTTCGCTTGTGTTCAGACACTGGCACAGTCTGGTCTATAAGCTTTGTCATATTCTATACCTGAATAAGCCTAGCTGGCATGTTCCAAGATTTTGGGCATTGGGGGAGCGTCTTTTATTATCCATTGCATGCCTCTTAGAAGATCCATCTCCCAGCCCAGGAATTGCAGGATAGACGCATGCGACGACAAATGCTCCACGAATTGGAGTTTCTGAGGCAGGTCTTTGAGGTGCCCTGAGAGTGGAAGGGGTCAAGGTTCAGTGGCTCAATGGGTATGCCATGATTCTTCCCATTTTTCTTTGCAGAAATTAAAGTGCAGATATGCAGATGGAACATAAAATCCCACAAAACAAATCTGATTTTTGAGCAGCGTTGGGAAATGGCCCAAAAATGCTTTGACCGATGCTAATTCCAATGCTACCGCGGATGAAATCATTGAAACTGCGTGCATTTCAGTAGGGTATCCCAAAGTTCTAGCCTCGTGCTCCTGGGATGGAACTACGCTTATTCTCTTTCTAAGCCTGCTTTGTTTTTATGCATTGCAGCATCCCTGGAAGATGCGATCCCAGGAGGCAGACTTCGACTGTAGCGGCACCTTGGATAAGGAGGAGTTTGTGGAGATTTGTGGCTCAGCTTAATGGAGATGGCAGCATTTTTTGGCTTGGATTTGCTGAGATTGATGTTTGTTGATGTTTATTTTCCACTGGGTAAATCCGCCATTTAGGGAAATCTGCTGGGAATATGTTGCTACTTTTTGTAAATCGAAATTAGAATTGATTTGGCATGACTTGGCACTTCTAGGATCAAAAGAGCTATTCCAACCATGCCATGCGCATGAAAGCCATGCTTGGCTCATTGAATGCCACTTTTCGAACAGAACTTCCAGCCCCAGCCAGCAGGTCAGCGGCACGAAGTCAAGCAAGCTTTGCTGCGG